CCATGTAACAGATGTGGGGCAGACAGAATGTAGGGTAACTTGGCTGGTGCAGTCACCATGTAACAGATGTGGGGCAGACAGAATGTAGGGTAACTTGGCTGGTGCAGTCACCATGTAACAGATGTGGGGCAGACAGAATGTAGGGTCACTTAGCTCGCGCAGTCATCGAGTAACAGATGTGGGACAGACAGGATGTAGTGTCGCTTGGCTGGTGCAGTCACCATGTAACAGGTGTGGGGCAGACAGAATGTAGGGTCACTTGGCTGGTGCAACCATCAATCATGTGCACATCTCAGTTTCTCTCCAACACAACCAACTCAACAACTATCAGGCATGTGAACATCTCATGTTCTCTCCCACACAACAAACTCAACAACAATCAGTCATGCGCACATCTCAGTTTCTCTCCCACACAATAAACTCAACAAGCATCAGTCATGTTCACATCTCAGTTTCTCTCCCACACAATAAACTCAACAAGCATCAGTCATGTTTACATCTCAGTTTCTCTCCCACACAACAAACTCAACAACTATCAGGCATGTGCACATCTCAGTTTCTCTCCCACACAACAAACTCAACAACTATCAGGTATGTGGACATCTCAGTATCTCTCCCACACAACAAAATCATCAACAATCTGTCATGTGCACATCTCAGTTTCTCTAACACACAACAGACTCAGCAATTATCAGTCACGTGCACATCTTAGTTTTTCTGACACACAACAAACTCAACAACAATTAGGCATGTGCACATCTCAGTTGCTCTCCTAAACAACAAAATCAACAACCATCAGTCATGTGAACGTCCCAGTTTCCCACAAAACAAACTCAACAACTATCAGGAATGTGAACATCTCAGTTTCTCTCCCACACAACAAACTCAACAACAATCAGGCATGTAAACATCTAAGTTTCTTTCCCAGACAACAAACTAAGCAACCATCAGTCATGCACACATCCCAGTTTCTCTCACACACAACAAATGCAGCAATGATAAATCATGTGCACATCTAGTTTCTCTCATACACAACAAACTCAACAACAATCAATCATGTGAACATCTCATTTTCTCTCCCACACAACAAACTCGACAACCATTTGGCATGGGCTAATCTTAGTTTCTCTCCTACATAACAAACTCAACAACCATCAGACATATCACATACCTCCCACACAATAAACTCAGCAACCATAAGGCAAGTCAACATCTCAGATTCTCTGACACACAACAAACACAGCAACCATCAGTCATGTGTACATCTCAGTTTCTCTGACACACAACAAACACAGCAACCATCAGTCATGTGTACATCTCAGTTTCTCTGACACACAACAAACACAGCAACCATCTGTCATGTGTACATCTCAGTTTCTCTGACACACAACAAACACAGCAACCATCAGTCATGTGTACATCTCAGTTTCTCTGACAAACAACAAACACAGCAACCATCAGGCATGTCCATATCTCAGTATCTCTGACACACAACAAACTCAACAATGATCAGGCATGTGAACATCTCAGTTTCTTTCAGCAACCATCAGTCATATGCACATCTCAGTTTTTCTCACACACAAAAACCTCAGAAACCATCAGTAATGTGCACATCTCAGTTTCTCTGACATGCAACAAATTCAACAACTATCAGGTATGTGAACATCTCAGTATCTCTCCCACACAACAAAATCAACAACCATCAGTCATGTGAACATCCCAGTTTCTCTCCCACAAAACAAACTCAACAAACTCAAAAAAGATCAGTAATGTGCACATCTCAGTTTCTCTGACACACAAAAAACTCAGCAATTATCAGTCAAATGCACATCTTAGTTTTTCTGACACACAACAAACTCAGCAACCATCAGTCATGTGCACATCTCAGTTTCTCTTCCACACAACTCAGCAACCATCAGTCATGTGCACATCTCAGTTTCTCTCACACATAACTCAACAACCATCAGTCATGTAAACATCTAAATTTCTCTTCCACACTTTAAACTTAACAACTATCAGGAATGTGAACATCTCAGTTTCTCTCCCACACAACAAACTCAACAACAATCAGGCATGTAAACATCTAAGTTTCTTTCCCAGACAACAAACTCAGCAACCATCAGTCATGCACACATCCCAGTTTCTCTCACACACAACAAATGCATCAACGATAAATCATGTGCACATCTCAGTTTCTCTCATACACAACAAACTCAACAACAATCAATCATGTGAACATCTCATTTTCTCACCCACACAACAAACTCAACAACCATCAGTCAAGTGCACATCTCATTTTTTCTCCCACATAACAAACTCAACAACTATAAGGCATGTGCACATCTCAGTTTCTCTCCCACACAACAAACTCGACAACCATTTGGCATGGGCCAATCTTAGTTTTTCTCCCACATAACAAACTCAACAACCATCAGGTATATGCACATATCAGTTTCTCTCCCACACAATAAACTCAGCAACCATAAGGCAAGTCCACATCTCAGATTCTCTGACACACAACAAACTCAGCAACCATCAGTCATGTGCACATCTCAGTTTCTCTGACACACAACAAATTTAGCAACCATTAGTCATCTGCACATTTCAGTTTCTCTCTCACATAATAAACTTAACAACCATCAGTTATGTGCACATCTAAGTTTCTCTCCCACACAACAAACTCAGTAACCATCAGTCATGTGCACATCTCAGTATCTCTCCCACACAACAAACTCAACAACCATCAGGCATGTGAACATCTCAGTTTCTCTCACACACAACAAACAGTTGTGCACATCTCAGTTTTTCTCGCGTACAACAAACCAACAACAACAAAACAACCATTAATCATGTGTTTATCTCAGTTCTATGGTATATAGCAATGCCTAATAATACAGATAATCACTCAGCTAATAGGATTAAATTTCACATGAGCTTTTTCAGACAAGCTGATCATGAATAAAGTCAGGTTGTCATGCAAGAGAGATAACTGCATCTTTCAATGAGTCTCTTGCATGCTGTGTTTAATCAATCGAAATAATTAAACTACTCAACTGAGATTCTTCGGCTGTTCCAAAGCACCTTTAGTTCACACCTGAGGTTTTACAATCAGCTTGTTGTAATAAAGACAAGATATAACTACATCATTTCTGGCTGAATCAAAGAGGTTTGACAAATTCTAAATGCTAATATGTTAGGGCATGCCTTGAAAGAAGATAGAACCTGCTTATGGCGGATCTAGGAATAAATCTTTTAGAGTTTAAACTGTATGCATAATTCACATTTATCATTATCTGGCCACGATTTTGGTTTATTTATTTTTTTTTTTTACACGGAGTTTCAGCAATTAAAAAAAAAAATTATATATATATATATATATATATATATATTATTTTTAAAGAACCAGTAAGGGATCAATATATTTTTTAACACTGTATATTATATATATATATATATATATATATATATATATATATATATATATATATATATATATATATATATATATATATATATATATATATATATATATATGTAAAGTGAAAATGATGAGCAGAAAAGATTATTGTATTTTTGTTACAGTTGAACAACTGGCCAGTGCATATGTTATCATTAGAAAAACAGCTATTTCAGTCTAATTTCCTATATTTTTGAAGGTCATAAATAAGAATTAACTAGACCAAATTGTAATCAATCAGTCATATCAACTGAATGCCATCTTCACAGTGAAGGTCAACCAAAATAGATTTTGAACAACTGATGTACCTTATTTTGACAAGATGCTTTGCCAGCCTAATAGACGAATGATATCTTGGCATTTGCTGGTTGGTCTTCGACTTTTCCCTCCCAGGGATCTCCAAAAGTGTGTGTCTTATCTTGAAATATATATTTATATAGTTTGTGGTGTTAAATTACATTTCTCTGATATCTCCTGCTACTGAATGTACTTGAGACAAAAGCCCCCCCCCCCCCCCCCCACCCCCCCCCCCCCCCCCCCCCCCCCCACCCATAAACACATGTGGAGCATAAGCCCCCGACCACCTCACTTCAAGCTTTCCTATCCTTTTCTATCATTCAGTTCACTGAAAACCCTCCCTGTAATTCTCTTCCCCATGTGTTTTATGTTTTCTTCATCGACTGCAAGGACATTTTAAATATACTATGTCCAGGTTTACTCCCTGTGTGTCCTGTTGCAAAGTGTCTATGACAAAAGTTATCTATTTCTAATGAATCTGGAGATGGTGACTATGAACAAGAACTTGAAACAGCAAATGAACTCAATTTTCTGGATATAAAATAAGAATAGTTTGATATTCTCACCTTCTCAATGGAAATGACCCCGTCCTATTTCTTTCATTAGCCATAGCATGAGAAGGTCATTCTGTGCTAACATGATGATACAGTCAGTAGCAGACATTACAACAATGTCCTCCATGTCATGAATTATTTTGTGGATTCTGTAAGTGTAAGCAAATCATTCAAGATGCCCCATGAATCAAGCATACTATTTCTGTCTATGTTTATCAACAATGACTTTGTATTCACAAAGGCTATCCATGACACAAAGGATACGACGCGCGTCCTTTATTTTGCTTGTGTAATAGTTACCACAGCTGATAGTGACCCTGACGTCTATAGATTTATTTCCAAAACACAAAATATACATTTGTTGTTTAGGTAATCATGAGCAGTGAAGGTTGACTGAAACAGAAACTCAACAACCATAAAGTAACTTACATTTAACTTAACACAAGCACATTGTGAAAACAAAAACAAAAGATAAGAGATGTATACAATTTCTCACATCAAACTATGCATAACTCGACACAATTGTGTAAGCATCAATGATTATATTTGTGATATCCCAAACACACAGGTACAAGCCACACCGAGGGCATCTTCATGAAGAAATGCAACAGGGACACTGCAACTGACTGTGCACTGTCCCACAGGCAATGCTCCTCTGATATCTGGTGTACCACTTCACACGGGTCAGCTGCTCATTTTTTAGCTGCAAACACAGAAGTTCAAAATGTAATGACAACAGGTGTAAAGACAAAATGTAATGACAACAGGTGTAAAGACAAAATGTAATGGCAACATGTGTAAAGACAAAATGTATTGACAACATGTGTAAAGACAAAATGTAACGACAACATGTGTAAAGACAAAATGTAATGACAACATGTGTAAAGACAGATGTAATGGCAACCTGTGTAAAGACATATGTAATGGCAACATGTGTAAAGACAAAATGTAATGACAACATGTGTAAAGACAAAATGTAATGGCAACATGTGTAAAGACAAATGTAATGACAACATGTGTAAAGACAAAATGTAATGACAACATGTGTAAAGACAAAATGTAATGACAACATGTGTAAAGACAAAATGTAATGACAACATGTGTAAAGACAGATGTAATGGCAACATGTGTAAAGACAAAATGCATTTGCAACAGGTGTAAAGACAGAATGACAATGAGTAAAAAGTCACAACATAGTGACAATGAGTGAAAAGTCACAATATAATGACAATGAGTGAAAAGTCACAATATAATGACAATGAGTGAAAAGTCACAATATAATGACAATGAGCAAAAAGTCACAATATAAAGACAATGAGCGAAAAGTAACAATATAATGAAAATGAGTGAAAAGTAACTATTTAATAAAAATGAGTGAAAAGTCACAACATAATGACAATGAGTGAAAAGTCACAATATAATGACAATGAGTGAAAAGTCACAATAAAATGAAAATGAGTGAAAAGTCACAATAAAATGAAAATGAGTGAAAAGTCACAATATAATGACAATGAGTGAAAAGTCACAATATAATGACAATGAGTGAAAAGTCACAATAAAATGAAAATGAGTGAAAAGTCACAATATAATGACAATGAGTGAAAAGTCACAATATAATGACAATGAGTGACAAGTCACAATATAATGACAATGAGTGAAAAGTCACAATATAATGATAATGAGTGAAAAGTAACAATATAATGACAATGAGTGAAAAGACAAGACTCAGCAGTTATTAAAGCATAAGCCTGAAGATGAGGAACCAACAGTTTGCATACAAATAAGCCAAATCTGTAAAATGGATGTGCACACAATACTCAAGATCTAGAAAAAGACCAAAGTCCAGAAGTGGATGAACAACTGGAAATTTCCATCAGTGTTTTACGGCTGCTGAATGCTAAGAAGAAGAAGAGACATACCTGAAGATAATTAATGCAGCACAATGAATAAAGTCAGCAGATAATTTTCACAACTGCAGATTGTCCGAGACAGGCAGTAGCAAACAGATGGTTACTCCATCTCATTATACCATGACCTAGTCAATGTAAAGGCATGGGCCTTTTTTGACCTCTGGTATATTCTTCTTCAATGTTCATCTTTGTTGAATATCTCCTGTTGGACAGTATCTGCCTTCTGTTGTTTATAGATGAGCTGAAACATTGTGCTTTGGGGCTGACACATCAGTCTTCTTCCTATGTTAACTCTGCAGTCTGGTTTCATAGACTCAATGTGGTGGTGTCCTCCACCTCTGTTCCTTTATTTTCCTATCTACTCTCCTTCCTCAGGTTTGCTTAGATTGTCCACATCTCCTTTTCCCACCTGCTGTCCCTCAGAGAGCTGTCCTTGTCAAAGTGTCATCAGACATTCTGCAAATAGGTCCAAGCCATCTTTTCATCTTCTTCCTTTGATAGTGACTGCCAGTGATGAACATTTGGTTTTTCTCCTCAGATCGTCATCTGTGACCTTGTTTGACAAAAACGTTTGGAGGATTCTACTAGAAACCTTTTTTTTTTTTTTTGAAAAAGTCTCTAGTTTATGTTTGATTTCTGCTGCTGTTGTCCAACACCCACTGTTGTATAAAAGTTTTCCTAAAATGTTTTTCTTTATAATTTGAGTTTTTTCAAACTACATCATTGTAACTTCCACATATTGTAACGCATGGCAAACACTTAGTTTGCTTTGTTTATTCTTGATGTTACAACCACAGAGAACAGATACATGGAAGTCAAGAATAGCAGGGGAACAGGCAGACATTTCCCACCACTATGGAGGCTTTCATTAATGTGAAGCCGAAATATAATGTGGTTGTTTTGTCTTCTCAGAGAGATTAATCACATTAAGTACATGGATGCTTCACTTCACCTCCATATACTGAAGCTTTTCTTAATCATAGACTGTGCCATTACACTAGAAACCAGCATGGTCAAGCCTGTCAACTTTCCCACACAGAGTAGTTCAGTTCCATAGTGTCTTACTGAAAGCTCACAATGACACAGTGCTGTTTCTTTCCAGGATCAGTCCTGGTTCATGACTTCAGCTTTGATGTTCACAAGGAGCAGGGTGTTCCAGGCAGATCACCAACACCAGAAGCAAGTAGAGAGAAGTAACTGTTCATCTACTGGACTTGTTTACAGCCACAACAGTGTTTCAGCATAGATTTGTATCTGAGTACATTGCAAGAGGACCACTTTTCAGTTAAGGTAAAGAAATATATCGCATCTTGCTTCAGAGCCTTCAATGTAGCACTGAATTATTCAGCGCAGCAATTGAGCATTCAATACAGCATTGGAGCAACTTTGTTCTTTCCCCTAATTCGGAGAGATTTGTGCTTACATCAAGATTCTCTCACAGATCCAGTTCTCCAAATACTAGGTCAGGTAAATGATAGACATCTGAATTCATTCACTATTCAGTTGGACATGTGGTCAATATCCACTTGAACCAATGCTTCATATAAAAAGACACAAAGTCAACCTTATTTACCCATAATTTCAGAGTGGGCTGTTGAGTGTCTGTTCCACTTCTGATCAATGGATGTACGGACATCCACTCATTCCAAGGTTTCCCGCTTGTTTCATTCTGCTCTGTGATGACCATTTATCAATAGCAGACATACGGGAAAAGTCCTGCAAAAGGTTAACAAACTGGGTCTAATTGCTTCTCATGCATTCATGTTTTCTGTGAATCCATTTAATGAGTATACTATACTTGCTGCAATATGGTTTCCCACTTGAACCAACTTGCCTGGCTAGACCATAATCAGTCTGACAGCTTTAGCAGCAGCCTGCAGTTTCTTCTCAGATCTGATACTGCCCATCTCTGTGCTGGTAGGTGTGATCGTCTTAGAATATTTCTCAAGGTCAATCTTCTATGTTGCTGGTGCCCTTATGTTCTCCACTTAAGAGATCTAGGCTTTAGCTGGTCATATCTGGTTTTTCATATGCAAGGATGTTATGACCAAAGATTTAGAGAATCAGCCCCAGCATCTCATCTGCATGTCACTTGAATAATGAAATGTAAAATATCTAGCATAGAAATTATAGGTACATACTCAGCTTCAACCATTTAGGCACTTGAGCGCCTGATGGAAGCGAGGAGGTGGCAGCAGATGAAGATGAAGCATAATCTATTCTGGTGACCCTGGATCCACCTGACTGTAATGTTGATGCACCAGCTGCATTCTGGGATGTGCTGGCTGTATTTGAGACCGGGTCCCTAGTAAAGTCTGAGCGCAGTCTGAAATAATCAGAAAATTGCACTGACACAAGAATATGGAATCAATATGATGAATTTAAACTACACAAGAATATTGAATCAATATGAATCATATTACTAGCCGACTTCTTTCAGCACTTCAATAAAAAGCTGCAGAACTTGCTTCACTTATCAACTTCATCTCAATTACAATGGTAGTGTTTTGGGGACACAGGCGTTTCAATCTAATTTTTTTAAATTATCTTTTCTCTACATGTCTATCAGTGTATTATCTTTTGTCTTTGAAACAAGAGAGAAAAATGGTGCTGGGAACAAATCAATGTTGTCCAATAGAATTAAATACATACAAATCTATGAGAGGGATTTCAACACATTTTTTATTTTCTGCAAAACTCACATCAGACTCTTTATTTATGGCTGTTGGCTTTTTGCTGGTAATCAAATCAAATGAAAATGAGTCTACATCTGAAATTTCTGATTTCAGTACAGTTATAAAATCTTCTACACATGACATCATACAATTGTTAAAATACACAAACATAAAGTAGTGTTTCTGTCCTGTCACTTCAAATTCAAAGTGGACAAATGGCCAGACATGTATATTAAAATGTTAGATAGTGATCTAAGTTTCAGTTCCTGTTTTCTGTTCCCTTAAACTCTACAGAAAATAACTGAGTCTCTCAGAAGGCATACATTTTTTTTCTAACATGACATAACAACCAACATATTTTAGTGCAAAAAGGTATTTTAGTAAAATCACTAGCCAAACTAGCCAATCTTGTGAAGACAAGGGACATTGATAGATACTGTAATGCCTTAGACATTCTGACATGCACAAAACCCATTTCAGTGTGACTATTGAGTAAACAGAGTGTGTCAAGGTGGTGGTGATTTGGCTGGCTGACTTTGTTTTTGTTTGTCTTTAGGAAGAATTCAGAAACAAATTCAGTTTACTTTACAAAATTAACTATCATTGTGAGCTCAACATCTGAATGGTTCCAGCCCAGTGCTGTACTGGACAGCATTATGTCAGCAGACCACTCAACATCTGAATGGTTCCAGCCCAGTGCTGTACTGGACAGCATTATGTCAGCAGACCACTCAACATCTGAATGGTTCCAGCCCAGTGCCGTACTGGACAGCATTATGTCAGCAGACCACTTTCACAAAGAAATCTCTGCTTCTCATTTCAGACAATAAGAGTTTCAATCACCATATGTTTGGGTGCATGTTGGTTAAGTTCCTTAATTCTTCTCAGGTGTTTTCTTTGAACTGAATGCAGTCTCCTTGTGCCCCTTTATATAAACAGTAAGTATTGTAGAATTTCACTCAGCTGTGAATTAACGATACATAAAGGCAAGCTACTTCAACCATATTTAGAGCTATCATGTGAGAAAGTTCACGCAAAGATAAGACTGCAGTCAATTTGCAAGGATTAGGTCAATTTTTGATGTGAAAATTAGTCTGCTGGACCAGCTTTGCTCAATGAGAATAAACAGTCTCAGGAAATTCTAACACAGCAACTTACACTTGTGAAACCTGTACTTCCGCTGTCAGCCTCTTGCAGATATTGCTTCTGCTGCTTTTACTCAGTAAGTGATCTGTGGAGACAGCAAGCAGAGTACACTGACAGTCAGCTTCTTGCAGGAAATCATATGGCTAGATTATATCAATGTTCATCAATCATATATTGTGTGATGTAATCAGATATGAGAGGGAGTCACAAAGCAATGTCAATTTTATCTCATGTCGTACAAAGCAATGTCAATTTTATCTCATGTCGAAATAAAGGCATAGCCTTTAACCTAACTGTACATGCTTTAGATTGTGCATGCTTCACATTTGAAATGTCAATATTATACTATAAATAAAATAGCAGACAGACAAAACAGTTCAAATAGAGGGCAAAAATAAAGTGTGAAAAGCAAAATTTATTGTAAAATTTCTGGTTGGGGAAAAAAAAACTGGTGTAAATTCATAAATTTTTATTTGCTAGGTACTGAGTTTATCATCTTGGCTAACAAGATGGTGGAGTAAACATTGTTTGCTAATTTACTGAAGGTTAAAATGTGTTTTAATGTATGTTATTAACACCAACATGTTTAAAGAAAGATGAACTTACGACAGGTCAAGCAAACCGGCAGATAATTTATTTGTTCAATTGATATTGCTTGAGAATTTTGTCCTCCACTTGATATTTCCGATGTATTCACATGAGTTTCTGTGCTTATCTCATTTTAATACCACTGGTGTTAACTGTAAAGCAGGAGGTAGACCAAGAACATGATAGAAAGATAGCATCAGAGAAACTCTACAACAGCACCATGTGTCTATAGACTGCCAGAAGAGCAAGAAGCAGAAAGAACCATATATCCTCCCTTGACAAACATAAACTAAACAAAGGAAGTGGTGTTGAAGACAAAGATAGATGAAGAAGAAGAAGAAGAAGAAGAAGAAGAAGAAGAAGAAGAAGAAGAAGAAGAAGAAGAAGAAGAAGAAGAAGAAGAAGAAGAAGAAGAAGAAGAAGAAGAAGAAGAAGAAGAAGAATACAAAGAGAAATATGAAGAAGAAGAAGAAAAAAAAGAACGACAAAAAAGATGAAAAAGAATATGAAGACGAAGAAGAAGATGAAGAAGGAGAATAAGAAGGAGAAGAAGACAAAGAAGAAGATTAAAAAAAGATGAAGAAAAAGATGAAGAAGAAGAAGATGACGAAGACAAAGAAGAAGATGGAGAAGGAGGAGAAGAAAAAGAAGAAGACGACGATGATGAAGAAGAAGAAAAAGAAGAAGACGATGAAGAAGACAAAGAAGAAGATGGAAGAGGAGGAGAAGAAAAAGAAGACGAGGACGATGATGAAGAAGAAGAAAAAGAAAAAGAGAAAGAAGAAGAAAACTGTAACTGTACAAATGGATCCCCATTACTGCTGTATACCTGCTACCCAAGCTGCATCACTTAATTTAGCAAGAAGAGCTTTTTTTTTTTAAATAATGTGATGCCGACAACTGAACTAATGATTACATGTCCTCATACCGATTATGAACATAATGCATGTACAAATGTCTAGACATGTAAACAGGAAAGACACATCAACACTAACCTTTCTGTGATTCAGAGCCACAATAAACCAAGGCCGCAGGAGCTAAATGACTCTGAGATAGACAAAAACATGGTATTTGTAATGTAAATTTTGAAAAAACATTTTTACATTCTATAACTCATAATCATCATCATGTAGCAGAACACCACTTATAAAAGTTGCCATAAAGCCACTCAGTTCCCTGCCATTGTTTGAACTTCAGGACCCGTCATGCCCAGCGTATCCTAGATAATCTTTGTTCACCACTGTGCAGGTTAAACCTTTAGCTTTGCCTCCAAGAATCAAACTCCTCAGTACTGTTCCCTCCAAACAACTGTGGCGTATAATATTATCACAGTGTTTCAGTCTCTGAGAAACGATACCGCACACTATTAATAAACACATAAGCTCCTCTAACAAATACTGAAAGTGCATACTCAGTACTAACTTCAATGAATTCAAATTATATTATCGTCTGGAAAGAACTATTTCACTCAATTAAACAACAAATGAAACCAGACTGCATATTAAAGACATTGGAAATGCTCTGTGTGCATCTTTGATAGGCAACATTTTTTTGTTTTTTTAAACTATTACCTGCAAAAACTATTTATCAAATCTAGTCTAGAATTCACTATGAAGTCAAATACTGCCCATGTGTTATCTAGGACCTAAGAAAAGAAAAGAACAGTAATTAGGTGATCCATTATTCATACATGTCATAAGAGATTAGTAAAGAAAGCTGAGATTAGACTGCTACCTCATCTCAAAGAAAATTAGCTACAAAATCAATCCAACCATGAAGTCTAAAAAGGAGTGAGTTGGTCCGATAGAGAAATTATTTATGGAATTTTATCACAAAGTTCTTCTTCTTCTTTCATTCGCTTGAAATAAATTATCTATTTCTGCAATGTTGTCTCTAGTATGAACTTCACTGTCTTTTGTAATTCAACCAGCGACCCGTAAAGTTTGACTTGCACCGATGTTTCTCTTGGCCAAAAGTTTTGCCTTGATATGCTGTATTTGGAACAGTCTTGGAGGATGTGATCTGTTGTCTCAGACATGTGCACATGGCTGATTCACCAATTTTAAATTGTGTGTACATGTGGCTGTGAAGTCGATTGTGCCCTGTTCTAAAGCGTAGAACAATAACTTGCTCTGGTCTGTCCATAAAATGGTAATCGTCGTGTGCCAGTTTTAGTGGCTTTCTGATTGATTTAATTATTCTCTCCTTTTGCTGATAAGAGACTGTTATGTCAAGTTGTTCTTCACTTGCAACAAAGATCTAATACTGCCATTCATGGTACATTCATAACTGCAAAAACCTTTAAAATTCATTAACTTATTGTAACAGTGTGAATTTGAAGCTGTAGAAGCTCTAGCTCTATGTAGGGGAAGATTCAAGAAAGTATAGACAGATTTGTGTCGAGGGTATACTGCATAAACTCAACAGTCTAGGTGAAATATTGCTTCTAGTCAAAAACTTCAAAACCCCTACAGTCAATTAATGACCAACAAGAAATTACTTTGAAAGTAAACATTGTATTAAATAAAAATTGCTGAATCTGTAGTGTGTAAATTTTCTGTTCACATACTACAAACTAACCTCACAATAAAATATAATTATGTTTGAAGTAAAAGACGTATCTAGTGTCTGTATGTTCATGTGTCTCTTCTTCATCTGTTGTGCTCACACTGACTCCTTGTCAAACCTCTATCTGCTACAAGCAAACCCTGTTTGACCTAAAACACTCCATTCTTATTGTAAACTCTGAAAATGACAAAATTCAGGTATGACAAATGTCTTGCTACAGCAGAAAGACAACACAACCACTTACTGCTGCTAGTGACACTGTTTTATCAGTCAACACCTGCTTTGGTGGTGCTGTATCTGAAACAAAACAAAACAAAGAGAAGTTGATCAACCGTGTTGTAAACAAAATTTACACCACTCTGGCAGACTACATTGAACAACTGACTGTAAAATGAACATACTGTCAACAGACTACAGTAAAAATCACTGCCACAACTGCAGAGGACTTGCACTTTTGTCACAGACAAAACAACCATCATTTTTTTTTTCATCCCCAATGGTTGTCTATTTTTCCTCAATATCTTTAACACTTTTGGATAGTTAAATTTGTGATAAATCAACAAATGATATTCCTTGGTGCCCAGAGAGTTGAGAATGTGTTTACTTAACTCTTCTCTGCAGAGTTTACTTTCTGCATTAAGTGAACTAAAATGACAATGAAATACATTAAAAAATATAGTGCAGACAAAGTCAATTTATTTCAAGTCAATGAAAGAAGAACTGGTTTCACTGTGACTGCATCACTCCAGAAACTTTTTTACATTTCGTATGAAACAGTCACTGAAGTTTTATAAACAGTCATGTGTTACGGCAAGGCAAATGTTAGCAGAGGTTCATGCACATGTCTACGGAGAGGACCATCCTTGCCAGGGGGCAAGACAATTACCATGGAGATACATTATGGCAAATGTAATCATTTTGTCTGGGGTAAGTGAGAAGAAGACAGCCAAGTAAGTTACACATAAATTACTGCAAGACAAAATAATTATTAAAAGTATACAATAACAGAAATGAAGGCAATAAACTTTATGGCATCAAATTACACATATGATGGATTTTGTTGATACTTACATAAATAAAATGTTTCATTCGGATCACTAAGATGTTCTTTAACAAATGCATAGAGAGCAGACACTGAAAATAAAAGAAACAAAAAAATTATCATTACAATCGGTCCACAATATATATGGCGTTATCTTCTTTAGCAAAAAAATAACAAGACATAAGAAAAACATGCAAATTACTTATACATTTAACACAGATATGCTGAAACAAGAACTTTCAGATTTCTTCAATCCTGGTCTCAGTAAGAGCCAAACTGCTGCAGTTAACAAGAAATGTATCAGCAGACACGATGTAGAGGCAAGCTACCCTGACATGCAATGATATACAACTTTTCAATTCCAGAATGAAAATACTTCTGCCTTAGTCACTGCTAACAATCCAAAAAACAAGACTTATTACAATCTGTTTGCACTGTATGAATCTTTAAAAAAACTGATTGTCTCTCAGTTTTGTTGCAAAGAAAGCATCCTTATAATTTGCTACAATAAGAAACTAAAAGGGAAGAAGCAGAAGAAATATGGTATCTTGTTCTGTTTTTATGAAAATTCAAAGGGTTGAAACCTATTACCACCAAGCACATAGGCAAACGTGATGGATTTGTTTCTTCTCTTTGACCATTAAAACAGTGTTTTTGTTGAAGTAGACACCAGTACTAAAATTGTTATATAGGCATAGTAGAGAATGCCCAAAGATGTTGTCATCAAAAACCATAAATATAGGAAAAATGACTCTCACGGTGACAGGGTTAAAGAATGACATCGATTACATTACTGTGTATTTTATCAAATAAGGTAAACATGGTGCCATGCTGACTTGTGAAGTTCACTACTATTCAATAAACCTACCTGGTTCCCTGGGCCGAAACAAGCCCTGCAAAGTTAACCTCTCTGGGAACTGAACTCGGATCACAATACGTTCATACTGATCAAAGAAAGCTTCAGCTTGTGCCTGTCTCATAGATTTTGTCATTAAAGGTTGGTCTTCCATCTGCCGACTTGACAAATACACAGATGTAAAAAAAAAAAAGTCTATACACATTCAACTATGAGTGTTTGGTAAACAGATACACCAAAAAAATTATGTTTCTTTACAGACATTACTTTAGCAGCAGACAATAACAGGGAAATAATGAAAATGTGTAACAATAATTGTCCATATACCAAAGAATATATCAGGTTCTTATATCTGAATGAGATGGTTCCAGACTGCTCTATGGAACATTTATAACATAGCAACTCTAATATTTTGTCTATACCGTCTTCTTTTCACTTTCCATTGACACCGGTCAGCGTCAGATTAGGAAGAGCCTTTTGAAGAAAGACTTGATGTGGGCTGCAAACAGTGTGTGTCATCCATGGCTTCTGCTATTCCTATCAATTGTGTAGCCTTTCTGTTATTGTTTTCATTGTCTCTAAATTCCAAAGCTGTTTGTGGCATGTTATCTGAAGGAGTTTTATGATACAACTAAGCATCGCACTGGCTGTCTTTCGATGCTTATTTCTCTCATGAAATAATCATGTTGTGTCTTGTAAGCTAAAAAGCACTCGAAATGCTGACTTAAAAGTTATGACTAATACAGGGAAAAACAATAACCCTGTGAACCTTTTACGTCCAGATCTGGAAAAGGTCAGAATGCATTTCCATAAATTAGAATGTCTGGCTGAAAATCATCATCATCAAATCTCATGAACTGCAATGTATCGAACTCCCTCCCAGCAGACAAGCAATTCATCTCAATTTTGTGAATGCTCAATGTCAACCATCAATCAGGAAACTGCTGGGGCTCTTTTGCAATCTACAAAGCGTTTATTTTTAGCATGTTTAAAAAAAATGGAGATTTTTGTCATTATTTTTTTTTTTTAGCTACGCTCATAGCCCCGCCAAGAAATCAGTCAGACTTGTATCTGTGTCTAGGAAGCTTAATCAGACTAGCTTTTGGGTCTAGGAAATCAATCAAACCAGCTTCTGTATCAAAGAAATCAATCAGATTAGCACCTGTGTCCAGGAAGCTCAATCAGACTAGAATCTGTGATCAGGAAATCAATTACACCAGTATATTCCAGGAATTAAATCAGAGAGATGAGCAGAGTTTTTTTTTCTGATACCAGATTTTACTAAAGCAGTGCTCCAGCACCCTCCAGTTGATAAAGCTGTAGCCAGCACACAAAAATAATGAAATTCAATAATGTATTGCAACCACACATGTCATGTAATCAGACATGAAGTCAGAAAAATTTACCTACACTGCATTCTGGAGGTCCCTGTACATTATTCTTACATCAGCTTGTGTCACTTCGAAAAAGTCATCAGGTAGAGCTGAAAATAAGTCTCAAAGATATAGACATGACCATAGTTCTTACAGCAAATCAAATTCAACCCAGTTTTTTATGATTAGACACGCTCAAGTAAAATGAGCAGAATAGCTTAGTAAGTCTGTGAAGCAAACAGCTCAAACAAATAAATCAACAAATAGACAAAAGCTGAGGAAAGTTAAAACAGACACACAATTCTGTTTCTTCAAGGGCCTCATATAGGACACATCAATAATAACTATACTTGACATACTCTGTTATTTTATTTTGTATTTATAGTTTACATAGCTTATATTACCATCAGTTGGTGAGCCATAGTGGCACAGTGGTTAGTGCACACACAGAGACTGTTCCTGGTTCAATCTCCAGAAATGGCAGGACTTTTTCCTACTAGTTCAGCTATGAGGTTGACCCATCCTCATAAACATAGATAACCATATAACTTCCAGAACTGCTTTGGTCTTTCAGAGCTTTCCATAACTATCTTTCTATTTTATTCTGTACAGGCAAGTATGAGAACTACATAGAAACATAGCAATATGCTGAGCCAGTGACCTCCAAGTAAATCAGTTTCTGTTAATCTAATCATGTGTACCGATTGTAAAAATATGAGTTGAATTTAGGTCAGTTATACTAATTCTGAATGTGTTATTCATTCTTACACTGTTTTAAAAAACACATTCAAATGAAAGAGCAATCAAACAACAAACATTTGCGCAGATTTATCCAAAACTATACTGTTTCAGTATTACATTACCCTTAAATTAAAAATAATCACATTTATTTTGTATACATAAAGGAAGACAACAAAAGATATTCTACACAATGACACCCTCTATAAGACCACAAGTAAAATGTTTATAAGTAGCAGACCAAGTATACAGACCATTGGGATTGTCAGATGCAGGTGGCAGCAGTTCTTCAGTCTTGTACACCAGAAATTCTCTATCACAAGGTTGCTGGATCAAAGTATTACAGAACAAAAACAATCAGCCACTAACGCAAATATGATTTTACTACAATTTAAGTTCTTCTGTCTCATAGTTATTCAATACAGACCAGCAATAACATGGTCTATTAACAGAGAGACACTATTTTCAGAATGTGGCACAGTTAATAGAAGATTTGAAAAAGCTCTCAAAAACAAAGGTGATCTTCTGGTGCATGCTAACTCTTAAAAGAACAGCTGACAATACAATCATGTTTCACTGAATATATACTTTTCATAAAAAGTTAGGCAACAAATCTTTGAAGCTGTATGAAATGTAAGCCAAATATTTTAAAAACTGAAATTTGAAACAATGAGACCTGATATTCAATGTTTCTGAAACGAGAGAGAGAGAGAGAGAGAGAGAGAGAGAGAGAGAGAGAGAGAGAGAGAGATAGGGAGGAAGGGAGAGAGAGTGACAGAGAGAGAGTGATAGAGAGAGAGTGACAATAAGAGAGAGTGCGTGAAAGAGAGAGACAGAGAGAGAGAGTGACAGATAGAGAGTGACAATAAGAGAGAGTGAGTGAGAGAGAGAGTGAGTGACAGAGAGAGAGTGACACAGAGAGAGAGAGTGACACTAAGAGAGAGAGAGAGTGACAGAGAGAGAGTGACAATAAGAGAGAGTGAGTGAGAGAGAGAGAGACAGAGAGTAAGAGAGAGAGAGAGTGACAGAGAGAGACAGAGAGAGAGTGACAATAAGAGAGAGTGAGTGAGAGAGAGTGACAATAAGAGAGAGTGAGTGAGAGTGAGAGTGAGTGACAGTGAGTGAGTAAGAGAGAGAGAGAGAGTGACAATAGGAGAGAGTGCGTGAAAGAGAGAGACAGAGAGAGAGTGACAGAGAGAGAGTGACAATAAGAGAGTGAGTGAGAGAGAGAGAGAGTGACAGAGAGAGAGTGACATAGAGAGAGAGTGACAATAAGAGAGAGAGAGTGTCAGAGAGAGTGACAGAGAGAGAGTGACAGAGAGAGAGTGACAATAAGAGAGAGTGAGTGAGAGAGAGACAGAGAGTAAGAGAGAGTGAGTGACAGAGAGAGAGTGACAATAAGAGAGAGTGAGTGAGAGAGAGTAACAATAAGAGAGAGTGAGTGAGAGAGTGAGAGTGAGTGACAGTGAGTGAGAGAGAGAGAGAGAGAGAGAGAGTTACAGAGAGATAGTGACAATAAGAGAGTAAGTGAGAGAGAGAGTGAGAGAGAGAGAGAGAGTGACAGAGAGAGCGTGACAATAAGAGAGAGTGAGTGAGAGAGAGAGAGAGTGACAATAAGAGAGAGTGAGAGAGAAAGTGAGTGAGAGAGAGAGTGACAGAGAGAGAGTGACAATAAGAGAAAGTGAGTGACAGAGTGACAGTGAGTGACAGTGAGTGAGAGAGAGAGAGAGAGAGAGAGAGAGAGAGAGAGAGAGAGAGAGAGAGAGAGAGTGACAAAAAGAGTGATGAAGTGAGAGAGAGAGTGACAGTGAGTGACACTGAGTTAGAGAGAGTGAGTGACAGAGTGAGTCAGTGAGTGACAGTGAGTTAGAGAGAGAGAGTGAGAGAGTGAGTCAGTGAGTGAGAAAGTGGCGTAAAGTGGCATGAGTCAGTGAGTGAGTGAGAGAGAAAGAGTGGCTTGGAGTGCACGTGTGTGAGGGGGTGCACACTCAAATGTAGATTTTACAATTCCACTAAGAAATTGCATAAAGAAAAAAACTGCCTCTTACCGAACATTCTGTTGGTCTTTTGCCCCTGAAAGCAAACAACCAAAAGATGATATAACATCAGCAGCAACAAAGAATGTTAAGGGATTGATACATAATGACGTGTCATCCTAAAATGCATTATTTTTTATCACACAAGCTAAACACTGGTGACAAAAAATCCAGTCATAACGCATCCTAAAGTGTGATCATTTTCCTTTCACCTCCCATACTGTACTTTCAGAATTTTTTTTCAAGAAATGTGCACATGCTATAATATCTATTTAAAGTAATTCTATATAAACAATTTTGTTAATTTTAAAAAAGTACAATCTGCTAGTCTTTACTGTATCAGCCAGTATTTTACAGGGGATTCAGGGGTAGGTTTCCAGGATAATGACATCACTAACAAAGAAATAAGTTCAATATCACATCATGGAAAGATTCATCTCATAAATATCCAATCTTCTACCACATGGAAAATGAGTGAAATGTACTCAAATTGAGTAAAAAAAATGTTGTATTTACTTAAGCTGGATAAAACAAAATACTTACAGAGTTCCACTGATTAAATCCATTCCTCTTGTTTCCTCTGGAAACTAAAATGAAATTTAAAAAAACAGGTAATAGTCTCAACCTTCAACAACACTTGTTTTACAGTAATTTTGTTTTCTATTAAAACCTGCAAACTATGCTCCAACTACCGTACCGTAGCATTAATAAGTCATGCTAGCAAACAAATTATCATGAAAAGGATTGAAAGGAAATTACAATATGAACTAGATGAAGCACAAGCGGGTTTCAAACACCGTAGAGGAACTAGGGATCACATATTTAATATGAGAATAATTTTTGAAAAATGCAGAGAATACAATGGAGATCTTCATGCTTGTTTTATTGATTGTAGCAAGGCATTTGATTGTGTCCAGCACCACCAACTGTGGACTATTATGAAAAGTATGGGGTTTCCAGCGCATTTAGTGCATTTAATTGAAAATCTCCTTCATGAACAACAAGCAGCCATCAGAGCAGCTGGTGAAACATCTGATTGGTTCGGGGTGCAAAAGGGGGTGAAGCAGGGGTGCATTCTCTCACCATACCTATTCAATAGTTACACAGAAAATATAATGAGAAATGTCAAAAATGACCAGACTTGTTACAGTGATGATCCGCTCAAAATTGGTGGCAACCCTATTCCAGAACTTCACTACGCAGATGACACAGTCCTCCTTTCGAACAGCGTAAAGGGAATAGAAAATTTAATATTGTCTGTCCAAAAGCACAGTGAAGATCAAAATATGTTCTTGAATTTAAAGAAAACGAAAATAATGTCCACAGATAAAACTGGCTGTCACCCAAAAAAAAACAAAAAATGATGAAGAAATTAAAAATGTCAAAAACTTTGAATATCTAGACTATAAAAAACAACAATGGAGACTGTTCAACAGAAATTAAAAGGAGAATGGCCATAGCAATGCAAAGATTGAACATAAAAGTCTATGGTTAAGCACTAGCAAGGAAATAAAAATTAGAATTTTAAGAGCATCTTCCCGGTGGCTACATACGGATGTGAGTCGTGGACTATCTCTCAGTCCTTAAGAAAGAGAATAGGGGCTTTTGAGCTGAAATGCTATAGAAAGATTCTCAGAATATCTTGGACAAAGAAGATGATAAATATTGACATCTTAAAAGATCTGAACATCAAGGAAGATTGGCTAATAAACAGCATCCTTTCTCGAAAGCTGAAATATTTTGGTCATATCAAGCGCCACAACGGATTGGAAAAAATTATAGAAGAAGGCATGGTACCAGGAAGGAGGGGCATGGGCACAGGATATAAGTGACTCCTTGAGTGTGAAAGTTCATGAGGCGGGAGAACTGGCATTGACATCTTAAAAGATCTGAACATCAAGGAAGATTGGCTAATAAACAGCATCCTTTCTCGAAAGCTGAAATATTTTGGTCATATCAAGCGCCACAACGGATTGGAAAAAATTATAGAAGAAGGCATGGTACCAGGAAGGAGGGGCATGGGCACAGGATATAAGTGACTCCTTGAGTGTGAAAGTTCATGAGGCGGGAGAACTGGCAAGAGAGCAAGTTTCTTACAGGCAGACTGATGAGAGCGACGTTCTGCAAAGGACCTGCTACATGATGATGATGGAAAAAAAACTGCAGACACAAACAGGTAAGGTGACACAGACATAAAACCTGCAGACACAAACAGGTGAGGTGACACAGACATAAAACTTGCAGACAAAAACAGGTAAGGGGACACAGACATAAAACCTGCAGACAAAAACAGGTAAGGTGACACAGACATAAAATCTGCAGACACAGACAGGTAAGCTGACACAGACATAAAACCTGCAGACACAAACAGGTAAGGTGACATAGATATAAAATCTGCAGACACAAACAAGGAACATGACATGGACATAAAAACCAGGGGATACAAACAATTAAATGGCACAGAATAAAACCTACAGACACAAACAAGTAACATGGCATATACATAAAACCTGCGGGAAGAAACATGTAGTCTGAGATGGACATAAAACCCTCAAACACAAACAAGCAATGTGACGACATAAAACTTGCAGACACAAAAATGTAACGTGACATGGACATAAAACCTGCAGACACAAACAAGTAATGTGAGCACAAAAAAGTAATGTGACATGGACATAAAACCTTTAGATACAAACAAGTTGTTGTTGTTGTTGTTATCGATCCAGCGGCGCATGAGCTTTCGCCCTTTGGCCCAATGCCATGTAGTGGAATTTGCATGTTTTCACAAGCTGTTCTTTTCCTCCGTACAAGGTGTTCCACTTGTCTGGTCTCGGAGGGAGTAGCGTTCTTCTTGTCTCACTGAGTTTTGGGCACTCAAAGAGATGGTGTTCAACAGTTTCGTAGGGGTAGTTACATAGCTGGCACTCTGGGGAGTGTTGTGGCTGTATTCTGTTTAGGTGTCCATTGAGTGGAGTATGTTGCGTTCTAAGTCTGAAGATGGTGGCCTGGTCCCTTCTTGTTAGATGGTTAATGCTGTCATTAGGATCAGGGCCAGACATATGTCTATAAAACCTCTCTTCCAGTGTCTCCCATGGCCCATCTGTTCAACCAAGTCTCTTTGTTTATAGCTCTTATCAGTGTTTTTTACTGTCTGGAGGGTTGTCGCTGTAGGTGGTTGTTCTTGTGTTGCTCCTTTCTTTGCCAATCTGTCAGCTCTGTCATTACTGGTGTGCCGGAGTGACCTGGAATCCACTGCATCACTATTCTGATGTTGTATGAGTAATAAGATGATCGGCATCCAGGATTATCTTGGCTATGTCAGTTCTGCAGCGTTCATTGCCCTCCAGAGCTTGAAGGGCAGACATTGAATCTGTGAAGATGACAATATTTTGGACCTTTGAGGGTAAACATCCATTACAGTCTTTAGGTGGTATACTGCTGTTTCCAGTGCAATTATTTCAGCTTCATAGTTTGAACAGAATTCCCCGCATGCATCAAAAATCTCTTCAACAGATCCATCGGGATAACCTATGTAGATTCCGTAACCTGCTTTAATGGTAGCTTTAAATGCTGATCCATCAGTATAGACATGTATCCATTCTTGGGGGTAAGAATCAACGGTCTTTAGTGATGAGTTCATAAGAGCGATTGGGTCGGACTGTTTGGTTTCCTCGCCTACCAATTTAGTTTGGACTTCTGGAGCTTTAAAGCGAGCATGTGAGTTGTTGTACTCTATCACAGAGCGAACATATCCTAGGTATAAGCCCCTCAGAGTTTCCTTGTCTGATCCCCATGATGTACCTGCAAGTCTCTTTAATAACTGTAACCGCCTCAATGCCTTATTCCTGATGTTTTCAATATGGTTCTTGAGGCTGAGCTGCGGGTCAAGTGTGACTCCAAGGTATGTGGGATGCTCTTCTTTCATCACTTGGTGTTTGTCTAACCTCAGGTTAATATTCTTCCTTGCTACTTGGTGGCTTTTGGTAAAGATTGTGTAGACCGTCTTTGCACAGTTAATCTTGAGTTTCCATCTTTGGCAGTAATCATGCAGTCTTCTAAGGTCTCCATTCAGTCTTTGGGCTCCACTTTCCACATTTTCATGACTCTGCCATATTGCTAGGTCATCAGCGTACAAGGCTTTTTTCGGCCTTGATTTGTTCTGGCAGGTCATTGATAAAGATTAGGAATAGTGTACAGCTCAATGATGAGCCTTGTGGCAAGCCCTCCTCCAAGACTTCTTTAGAAGAGATTGCGTTGTGCATCTTAGTCTGGATTGTTCTATCTATCAGGAAGTATTTCACCCAGTTATACAATCTGCCATGTATTCCTATGCTCATCATCTTCATCAGGAGACCTTTTCTCCATACTCTGTCATAGGCCTGCTGGAGGTCGACAAAGACTGCCACTGTGTGTTTCTTATTCTGGAAGCCATCGTGTATTCTTTGTGTCAGTCTGAACAGCTGGTCTTCTGTGCAGCTGTTGGTTCTGAAGCCTGCCTGTTCATGGCATAGAACACCAGAACTCTCAAGGAACCAATATAAGCGCCTGTTTATCATTCTTTCTGCAACTTTGCCCAAGCATGATGTTAAGGATATCGGGCGGTAGCTTTTGGGGTCATCTGGAGGCTTTTTGGTTTTAAGGATGGGGACGATATATGCATTCCTCCATGCCCTTGGAAGTTTGCTTGACCTCCAAGTTTTATTAATAAGCCTGAGAACTACTTCTCTCCCAGACCGGCCAAGATGTAGCAGCATTTCGTTGTGGATCTTATCTGGGCCTGGAGATTTTCTAGGTTTTAATTTCTTCAGGGCTTGCTCTAATTCATCCATGCTAAATTCATTTTCAAAAAGGGAGTCGCTGGCTGTTGGAGCTCTCTCTTGTTTCTTCAACTGAGAGAGCTGTGTTCTATCGAGTTCTGACAGCTTACCTGCTCTGTTAACTGAGGCAAAATAATGATTGAAATGTTCTGCTTTCTTCTTGTCTTCAGTGATTGTCTTACTCCCATCTGTCACTGGTTTTGGGTTCACCCTTCTACTTTCTCCGGAGAGGTTTTTAACTAAAGTCCATGCTTTATTTCCATTCCGTCTAAGGTCTAAGTTGGAGCAAGTTTCTGTCCATTTATCTCTTTTAGCCTTATTAACTACAAGCTTTACTCTGGCACATGCTTTATTGTATTGGATCTTTGCTTCTGTTGAACGTGCAGTTTCGAGAAATATTCTTGCTTTATTCCTTTCAGATATAGTATTTTGAATTTCTTGATTCCAAAAAGGTTTATATGCCTTCCGGCTGCCCCTTGGGATGGCTTTCGACGCTGCATTCAGGATTGCTTGTGTTATGTCTTCACAAAAAGTTTCCACACAGCTGTTGTCAATTCTTCCCAGGAGGCAGTCAGATGTTTCCTGAAATAGTTTCCAGTTTGCTTTTCGGAAATTCCAACGGGTTCTCTGCCTGAAGCGTAATTTAGGGGTGGTGCTTACAGTTGTGAGTATAGGTTTGTGGTCACTTCCTATGTCGTCCAGGACTTGGGGATAGCTTGCGTCTGCTAAGTCGGATGAGCAGATGGTCAGGTCTGGTCTGCTGAGAGATAGGTGGGCCCTGTGTAACAGTGTAGGTGTAGACTCTGTGTCCTGCAGCACTAATAGGTTAGTTTGTTTCACAAGTATCTTCGATGTACTTCCCTGTGCTATTGTAGTCAGGGTAACCCCAACGTGGCGAGTGTCCGTTGAAGTCACCAACAAGAAGGGTTTTATGGTACTGTGTCTTGTATAGTTCTGGTATGTTGCATGTTGTCTGAGGTGGGCTGTACACGTTGTATATCGTGTATTTGCTTCCATTGTGCCAGATAGTTATTTTTTGCACATCTGTAGGGTGAGATGTCGACAGCATTGTTACATCTCCTTGTATGTCATTTCTGATATAGGTCACTATGCCCCGGCAGTCATTGCACTTACAGGCATAACTAGTATATCCAGTGAGATGCAGATCAGAGTCTTTATGCAGGGTTTCTTGTAGGGCAGCCACGTGTACCCTGTGGTTGTTTAGCAGTTTGGCAAGTTCAAGTTTCTTATTTCTAATTCCACAGATGTTCAGCTGCAGAATATTGAGCATCTGTGTATTTTTTGCTGTGCTGTCTGAGTTCTTTTTGCTCTCCCTCCCACTCTTCCTCCTCCTGGGGTGTCTGTTTTCCCTATTTATTTCAAATTTTCCAGTAGCCAATTTTTCGCACATGACAGCCTGGTTTCCCACTGTCTGGCGCGGGCCTTGATAGACGAGGCGACGACCGATCTCGTATGTATTCTTAAATTTTGACATATTCATGGCATTGTGGTGCTGGGGTGTCTGTGGATTACCTACCTCCCCGGGCAGCAGCTAGAAATGCCCTGTACCAGTTCTAAAGGAAATATGGGTTGTGTTTCTGCCTTTCCCTTTAACACGTAGCTAAGGTGGGGCTCACAGTGTGCTCATTCCCCGCCACCAGATTGCCTGCAGGTTTCGCTGAGCTCTTCATGTCTCTAAGCATGGCCTAAGCATGAGTAGTTGGGGCAACTGGATCGTCACGTCCTGAGTCCCTGTGCCTTCACGATAGTTTCCGGTATTCAGGGGGGTTAGCATACTTGTTTCCATTCCTAAGACTGTTCAGCACACCTCTGGCTCCTTCCCTCCCACAGGGGGCAGTACGTGTGGTGTGCACCGGGTTTATTATCGAGGTTTGCTCCTCTAGATCCATTGTGTTTTGCCTGGGGATTCGCACCCCCAGTTACCGGGACTACCTCGGGGAGGCTGTGACTCTTCGCCACGCACAATGGTCTTGAGGTAAGAGAGGTTTTGCTAGGTCAAGAGGCTGACACCACAATGGACGCTCCTTTCGTGAAAAGATATTCACTAGACCTAGGGTGAAGTAAGGGGGGGAACCCACTACCCACAACACCAACACTTCTTACCCCCTGCCTCTCGAGGCTCAGTCCCATACAAACAAGTAACATGGTATGGACATAAAACCTGCAGACACAAACAAGTTACATAAAATGACATACAACCTACAGTCACAAACAAGTAACATGGTATGGACAAAAACCTTCAGACACAAACAAGTAACATAACATGACATACAACCTACATACACAAAAAATTACCATGACATGGACATAAAACCTGCAGACTCAAAAAAGTAATGTGACATTGACTAAAACCTACAGAAAAACATAATATGGACATAAAACCTGCAGACACAAACAATTAACATGACATGGACATAAATCCTGCAGACACAAAAAATAATGTGACATTGATATAAACATTCACATACAAACAACTAATGTGACATGGACATAAAACCTGCAGACACAAACAAGTAACATAACATGACATACAACCTACAGACACAAACGATTAACATGACATGGACATAAAACCTGCAGACACAAACAAGTAACATAACATGACATACAACCTACAGACACAAACGATTAACATGACATGGACAAAAAACCTGCAGACACAAACAAGTAATGTGACATGGACTAAAACCTATAGAAACACATAATATGGACACAAAACCTGCAGACACAAACAAGTTACACAACATGACGTTCAACCTACAGACACAAACAATTAACATGACATGGACATAAATCCTGCAGACACAACAAATAATCTGGTATTGATATAAACATACACATACAAACAAGTAATGTGACATGGACATGTCATAGCCCTGTGGGACAGAGTATAGACAATATGACGTGTAACTTCATGTTTGTGTTTGACGGACCAAAAAGTGCACCAGCGATCAGCCAGTTGATTTGACAATATGGGGAAAACCCGAGATGGCTTGAACACTGGTGCAACGTACACGTTTGACCCGAAGCTGAACGGGGAGAGAAAAAGGAGAGCGGTTAGAACGGACGTGTGAGGCTGAAGACATTTAGAGACGTGATTGTATTTTGTTAGGAATTGAAAGATAGGTTCTGTTAGAGTTGTCGTCATATGTGTTGGTTAGCTGTTGGTATTCCTCATGTGCTTATAGTATACGAAGACAGTTGTGTTGGGGTTGTATCATGCTTAGGTAGGTGTTCTTGTCCCTGGGTTATTAGGGGTTAGCTGCGTTTTGTGCTGGCATTGACATTGCCAGCTAATACTTGAACCACTCACCCTGCGTGGGCCACTGAGTCTCGCATGGCGAAGACCGTAGCTTAGTTAGCGCTGCACTACAGGAGGTGGAATCGTGTCCTCTGGTACATCCATGGGAATGGCTCGGGGTGGATAAGTAAATATAAATGCTGCCACTGCGGGAGTTTCAGATAAGGGACTGTCCATAACTATGGAGGTTGCTTTAGGTTGTGTTGTTCTTTGTTCATTAAAGATGATGTGTGTGCTCCATATGTGTGTGTTTTGAGTGTGTTCTAGTATAGTGTGTTTGTCACAGGGCCGTACAATGAGCCCTAGTTAAGTAGCTTAGCTACCAGGTCCTTGACAGGACATAAAACCTGCAGACACAAACATGGACATAAAACTGCAGATACAAGTAACGTGACATGGACATAAAACCTGCAGACATAAGTAATGCGACATGAATATAAGACCTGCAGATACAAGTAATGTGACACGGACATAAAACCTGCAGACACAAACATGGACATAAAAACCGCAGACACAAGTAACGTGACATGGACATAAAACCTGCAGACACAAGTAATGTGACATGGACATAAAACCTGCAGATACAAATAATGTGACATGGACATAAAATCAGCAGACACAAGTAATGTCACATGGACATAAAACCTGCAGATACAAGTAATGTGACATGGACATAAAACCTGCAGATACAAGTAATGTGACATGGACATAAAACCTGCAGAAACAAGTAATGTGACATGGACATAAAACCTGCAGATACAAGTAATGTGACATGGACATAAAACCTGCAGACACAAGTATTATGACATGGACATAAAATCAGCAGACACAAGTAATGTGACATGGACATAGAACCTGCAGATACAAGTAATATGACATGGACATAAAACCTGCAGACACAAGTAATGTGACATGGACATAAAACCTGCAGACACAAGTAATGTGTCATGGACATAAAACCTGCAGACACAAGTAATGTGTCATGGACATAAAACCTGCAGATACATGTAATATGTCATAGACATAAAACATGCAGATACAAGTTATATGACATGGACATAAAACCTGCAAACACAAGTAATGTGACATGGACATAAAACCTGCAGACACAAGTAATATGACATTGACATAAAACCTGCAGACACAAGTAATGTGACATGGACATAAAAGCTGCAGACACAAGTAATGTGTCATAGACATAAAACATGCATACACAAACAATACAATCTTAAGGGAAGAAAGAAAAGTCCTAAAAATGTGTGTTCTTAACTACATGTGGTTGTATTAGTTTTTACGACATGCTTTCAGACAACCTGACTCCCAAATCCCTCCCACCAAGTAAAAATTACCATATGTTTGACTAAGTTGCTGCCTCCTCACCATGAACTCACATCCTACTTCTTGATCTCCCAATGTAGCACATACCTTCCTGAGTTCCTGAGTCTGCTGTCTCCTTACCGTAAAGTCACATCCTACATCTGTCTTTGATCTCCCACTGTAGCACAAACCTTCCTGAGTTCATGAGTCTGCTGTCTCCTCAGCTTACTTCATGTTCTCCCACATCATTTTTCAATGTCTCTATTATTTTTCTGCTCTCTTATCAGTGTGTGTTTTAGGAATCCCTCTATTTCTTCTGCTAAATGAATTCCAGAAAAATGACTTTCTTATTATACTATTAACATGACTTTCTTGATATGATGTTCCAATTCAGCACCAGGGTATTTTCCTCATCTGTTTTACTGGGGTTTGTTCAGTTTGCTCCATAAGCTCCATACTGGTAATTCTGGCATATCATTTGAATTCTACTCTGCACGTGCTAAAATAAAAATATTGTTTACTCTGTAACTCTTTCACTTTTTTCCCTGTTTCTAATTCACACAGCGGTACTCACTTTAAAATCTACAAAAGGCATAGCTGCTTCCTGGGAAAGTTGCTGTGTTGCAGATGAACTTTCAGCTGAAGTAGCTAATGGATCTGACTGTAGTCCTGGGAGAAACCTTTGCATCAAACGCTGAGCAATCTATTACACAAATATAAATTCGGTTGATACATAAGTTGAAGCAATTACAACATACTTTAGGTCAGATTCACCTGAAGACAAGGTCTGACAATTAAGTAATCAGACTCTGATTTTATTATGGCAAAGACAAAAATGCCATCTAATAAGCAAAACATGGAATCCAAAGACAAAACCTTCATCGCCAACTTTTCATCGCTGCCCGATAGGCAGACAACAAACAAGCTGCCAATTTGTTAACCTAGTCAGAGGTGCTTGTTACGTAATCAGAATGAAGCAAAAAGCTAACATTAAACTATGTTTAAAACTCAAAAAAAGGGCCACTGAGACATTTGAATTGATGCAACAAGTTTATGAGGATAATTGTTTATCTTGTGCACAGATTTTCAGGTGGTATCCATGACTTGTGTGGAAATAATTACTAATGCAACTAGACCTAGACGCTGTTTCTGTTCGTAATGAGAAACATTGAAAAGTCAGAAAACGGATACAAGAAGATCATTGTTTGACTGTGAAGATGATGGCAGATGAATTTCGTATTAACAGACCATTTTAAAATTTTTAGTGGAATATTTGGGCAAGAAAAAAAGTTGTTTGCCAATATGCACGACATTCATTGCCTGATGATCAAAATCATCAGCATGTTGAGCACGCAAAAGACATCATCAAAACGTGTCACAGAAATTTACATTGATTAAATGTTGATTGCTGCAGAGGATGAAACAAGGACTATCCGCTATGATCCCACAACTAAATGACAAAGTGCTTAGTGGAAGTCACCAAAAGGCAAAAAAAAAATCCTTCTTCAAAAGCTGAAAGTGAAGAAATGTTTGTGTGCTTCTACGACAGCAAAGGAGTTATTCACAAAGAATTTATTCCATTTATTGTTGCTGTCTGTCCATGGTACTCTTTGCATTTCCTTCAAATTCACATTTCTGCAGCCATCAGATTTTCTTGTTTCAGAAGTGAAACAGAATATCTAATTTAACCATCATATGCCATAGTGCAACAGAATATCTACTTTAATAATGATGTGCCGGGAATGAAACAATTCATCTACTGCAGCACAGATGAGCCACGACTGAAAACAAACAGCTACTTTAACAAACTTCTTTTTTTTTTTTGCGTTCACTGGTTGTAAACTCAGGTGAAAAGTTCTGGTTGTTTGTCCTGTCCCAGAACCTGAGTGTTGCATGCACATCCATGTCACAGGTCTGACTCATCTCTATGCAGACTAGTGGTTCCTGAGTCTCAGGCCGATATATTCCAACTTTGAAGATAGCTCCCAAATAGTCAACTCTTATGGCATGTTTTTGGGTAGGCAGTGGGTCTATTCTTGACTTGTCCAAAACAGGGCCCCGGAACCCACACAGGGAAATTTAACAATGATGTGTCAGGAATGAAACAGAAGATCTACTCTAACATTATGTGCCAGGAATAAAATGGAACATTTACATCATCAAGTTGAGCTAGGATTTAAACATAACATCTACTTTAACAATGATATGCCAGAAATGAAACAGAACATCTACTCCAATAATGATTTGCCAGAAATGAAAGAGAACATTCACCTCATCCTAGGAATGAAACAGAACATCTACTTTAAAAATGTGCCAGAAATGAAACAGAACATCCACCTTATCAAAGATGAGCTATAAATCAAACAGAACATTAACAATGTGCCAGAAATGAAACAGAACATCCACCTTATCAGAGGTTGTCTCGGCTATGGGACAGTATAAGATGATGATAGTAAAACATCAGGTCTGTACAAAGTGACCCACAATTGAGCTTAAGCCAGTGCAGACAAGCCGAACCAAGGAATGGTCCGTGGTATGAGAATTTGGCTTAGTGGGTCCCAGGGACTTGGGTTTCACGGGGTACAGCGAGTCAGCGCTGTACCTCGGGCTGGACAAAACGACTGTGCTCAGCAGATCAGGGAGATTCAGCTGGACCTTTGTGTGACAAGGCCATTGTTAGAGCAGACTGTTAGAATGTAGTATTCCATTGACAAATTGTAATGACTGGTAGAAATATGGCATGTATTAGATTTTAGTTGTGATTCGTAGTCCGGTATCCGACTAATAGTGTTAGTACGATACGGTGTAGATAGGAATTGTTCCACTTAGATCTCATAGGGCAGATAGATTTACGACAGCAGTTAGACCCCCTTTTAGTAGTGATATCTCGTTATGGGAAACAGGGTCATGCATTGTTTGTGACGATAGCATCTGCCGACACACCTTCGGCCCTCACTCGGCGTGTGCCCAAGAATTCTTGGCATTGGGGAGACAGTGGCTCTAGACAGCACTGTATGGGGGTGTGGTAGTGAGCTTAGAGCTTATTTAATGAAACGTGTAAAGGCGCGTCTAGTGATTACAAAACTAGAGCGGCCTGGTTTCAAATAAGGAGCCCTACCACTCCTGAGCTGTTGAGTTCGTACTCTCTGATATTGAAGATTGTAAGTGTGTTCCACAGGCGTTCAGGTTGGCATGTTCTTCAGCAGATTTTATCTGTCACCGACCTGCAACACAGCCATAGATTAGCACCCTAGACAAGCAGGTCTTTCACAAAGTTGAGCTAGGAATGAAACAGAACATCTACTTTAACACATACACTGGAAATACACAAAACTTACAGCTTGTTCCTGAGGATTGAGATCATGAAAATCGTCGGGTGTATAAATGTCAACACCAGGAATGTTCATATTCCTCAGAACATCAATGGCTGATTGCTGCTGTGATCTGTTCTGATCTTGAACCAAGTTACTCTGAGCACAATTCTCCATAGCAGAACTCTGAAGTGCTGACCTGGATCTAGAATCTGATGCAGAAATAATACTCTTCAACAATTACAAGGAAAAAGGCACTGATTAACCTAATTAAGGCAATGACAAAAACTTTTAGGGTAAACAAATATAGATAATATAAATATGAGGCTGCTTCAAAAAGTTTCAGGAATAGTCTACTCTTGTTTGAATCAGTAAATATGACATGAAGATTATACAGTGAAAATGACATGAAGATTATAGTTTTATAAGCTGAAAGTGACCTTGGCAGTTTGTATCTTGTGCACGCAGCATCGCTGGAGTTAAAAATGTCCTTGGCTGAGCTATGCATAAATGTCAAATGTAAACACTGGCATGTTCGGTACACTGTGCTTGCTGACAGAAGACCTAATGTCAATCAAATATCTTCAGAAGTTGGAGTATCAGTTGGAATTTGCCACAGTATTCTCCTCACTGAACTGCTACTGCACCAAGTTTGTCAAAACAGGGTTCCCATAATGTTCCCTCCTGAATAGAAAGAAACCAGAATGGCACTGGCAGGAGGTCTATCATATTTCCCCAAGTAAAAGACAATCCCATGTAAAAAACATACCTCGATTCTGGGACCAGAAATTTTGCAAATATATTTCATAAAATTACTGAACATTTTATTCATCATATAATCCAGAAAACTCCTCAACGCTATCAAAACTCCCATTCGCAAAACAGTTTCTTAGCTGAAATGCTGCACTTCTTAAATAACAATGATCTCAATCTTCACATTATACAGGAGTTGGTTTTTTCACACTACCTGCTGGTGTCAAATAGTTCATAATAGCTCAGAAGACTCCATTCATTGGTTCCATCATCTCTCGTGGCAACTTTGAAGGGTTTGTTAATTCCGACATCAAGTGGCTGAATCTTAGTGAACTTGGGAATTCCTAATGTAACAGGTGCGAAAGAATGAGCACCAAGACAAGCGAAAAAACTATTACAGCAGGAAATTTCTTTTCATTTTTTTTTTAAATGTTTCCCTATTTTATGTTGCTCCTGAATGGGCATTCCTAAATGAGGCTCTGTAGGGGACATTTTCTAACAAATCATTTGGTAAAAATCTACTATCACTGTATAAGATGCAGACTTTTTCCAGACCCTATATTTTGGAAAAATGTGTCTTAAACTTGGGGAAAGATTTTCTCAACAATATAGTTGCAGAAGAAGAGACGAAGTGTTTCTTGTATGATCCTCTAACAAAATGGCAGTCCTCTGCATTTAAATCACCCTCATCCCTTTAGAAGACAGTCTGGTCAAAAGCAAAGGCAACGTTATGCTGCAAGTTTGTTTGTTTGTCCACAGGGTACTGTCTAGCATAATTTCATTCCTAAAAGTCCAATAATTAAAATGGAAATGTATGCTGATAACCTTCGTCATCTAAGAGACAAAAGAATACAGAAACAAACTATGCATAACTTCCCATTAGTATACAGCTGAAGTTTTTTTATTCTATTTTCTTATTAATTTTTTAGTTAAAATGGCCAAACAGTTAGTACGCTGGGATCTCAAGCGGGAGACTCAGGTCCAAATCCTGGGTAAGGCTGGGAATTGTTTCTGTTAGGGGGAAAAATGAAATCTTCACATGCACAGTCGTGGCAACAGCACAAGACATGCAGCGGTGAATCCTCAGGCTCAAAGACCCCCCTGCCTACATCGCAAAAGTGCTATAATAAAGGCAGTAATTGGCAGTTTCTTATGGGTATAAAAAAAGTTAAAATGTAAACCTACTATTACATGTAGTCTGACTAATGACAGTGACAGCCAAGATGTCAGTTAGGAATTCTGACATACTGAAAAGATGCTGCAGCAAGCAGCTGCAGTGAGCACATCTTTTCTTGATTAATGTTTATTCCAGTTTGAGTTTAACTGTGTAATTCCAAATGTAAAACATGAATAAGTCTGACATAATCACAAATATGATAACAAATTTAGGATTTGTGGAGATAACGTATTTGATTTGATATCTGAACAAGCTATTAAATATGTCATCTATATCTATCTAATTATTTGAAAACCTATATGGTAAAGTCAATAAAGATGAAGCTATTTTCTAGTGTTTGAAAACCTGCCTGATGATGTCAAAGATGAATTTATTTTATGACTACTTGACAACCTTCTTGGTAATGTCAAAGATGAATCTATTAAATAAGTGTCTGAAAACCTGCATGGTAATGCCTAATATGAATTTATTTTATGATTACTTGAAAACCCCCTTGATAATGTCAAAGATTAACCTATTTTCTGGTGTCTGAAAACTTGAACTGTAATGTCAAAGTTAGCTGAGTGTCCTGTACAGGATGTTGCAGAACCAACCCCAGCATTTTTTGGCTGTTGTGGTTTATCTAGCCAAATTTAAGTCTAGTAGTTTGCCACTGCTTTCTGGACGGTCGGCTTCTCTATAGATACCACTGTCAAAACCAAAGCAAGCCGCAAGGCCCACAGCTGGGATCGAACCCAGCACCCCTGCATTATGAGGGATGTATGCAAAGTCTAAGACACAGACGCCAACAAGCCAAAAATAAATTTATTTTACAGTGTTTGAAAACCTGCAAGGTAAAGTCAAAGATGAATCTATTTAAAGTGTCTGAAAACCTGCAAGGTAAAGTCAAAGATGAATCTATTTTATAGTGTCTGAAAACCATTATTGTAATGCCAAAGATGAATCTGTTTAACAGAGTTGGAAAACCTGCAAGGTAAATTCAAAGATGAATCTATTTTAAAAGTGTTTGAAAACCTGCATGGTAATGTCAAAGATGAGTGTGTTTTTGATTATTTGAAAACCTACCTGGTAATGCTGAAGACGAATCAATAGGTGCTTCTTGCATAGGTTCAGAGTTCACACCAGTTCCAGAATCCAATTCAGTAATTTGCAGTGAATCTGGATTTTCACACGTCTCCATGGGAGAAAACTCACTTGTTTCTTCATTCACATTATGTAAGTCATCACCAGCTTTTATATTCTTTTCCATTTCATCCAATAATCTCAACTCATTTTTTTTTATGGCCATTTCCTCCAGTTTTGTTTGCTTTTGTTTCTCTTTCTCTATCTTGTTTGCTATCTCGGTCAAAACTTTGTCTTCGACTGGCCGATGCAGGAGTCTGTTGGGCATTCCAGAATATAATTTATCAATGTAGAAAAGATAAAGACGTCAATACAGTCGATTATTAAGGGGATAGTGCACTTAATGACATAAATTTCTATGATATATGTACCACAACCTAGGGGTACTGGACAGACAATACTAGATTTATTAATTTTTTTAAACTTTCTCAAAGCACTATATAAAAAAACATTTTTAAATAAAACTAGATTCACAATACTTCCTAAAAGCACTAGATATAAAATTCTTCTTCTTCTTTCGTTCACTTGAAATAAATTATCTATATCTGCATTGCTGTCTCTAATATGAACTTTACTGTCTTTTGTAATTAACTAAATGGCCCATAAAGTTTGGCTTCCACAAGTGTCTCTCTTGGCCAGAAGTTTTGCCCAGAAGCGTTGAATCTGGGACAGTCTTGGAGGATGTGATCTGTTGTCTCAGGTGCCAGTCCACATGTGCACATGGCTGATTCGCCAATCTTAAACTTTGTGTACATGTGGCAGAGAAGTTGATTGTGCCCTGTTCTAAGGCGGAGGATAATGACTTGCTCTGGTCTGTCCATAATATGGTAATCGTCTTGTGCCAGTTTCGGTGGCTTTCTGATTGATTTGATTATTCTCTTCTTCTGTTGATAAGAGACTGGTATGTCGGGTAGTTCTTCAGTTGGACTTTCCTTAGCTAGTTTATCAGAACTTTCATTTCCAGGAACTCTACAGTAGGATGGTATCCACTGCATAACTATCTTACAACTGTTGCCTAGTACAGATAATAGTGTCTCTATACTTGGTAATTTTCCAGACTGGAGTGCCTGAAGGACCGCTTTTGCATCTGTAGCAATACCACTGGTTGTGAAATATACCTAGTATTTAGTAGTTTCTCTGCTGTTATCTTGATTACTTGAACTTCTGCCTTGCAGTTGTGACAGTTCTTTACTGTTGATATTTTGGCTGTATCCCTGCTCAATGTACACTCTTGCACCTCCGTGTCTGACTGCATTTTTTGCTGACCCATCTGTGTAATCACGAACCCAAAGATTCTGCGGGTATTCATCATCAAATAGACTGAGGGTGGCTGTTTCATGCCGCACACTGTTTCGTTCTTCCTTGTCAAATACTCCTTTCACATCTGTCTTGATGTGTATTGGAAACTTATGTTCCTCTCTCCAGAAAATGTGTTACTCCATGTTAATCTATTATCAAATGTTACTTCTAGGTATGTGGACTCTTTATCCTCTCTCAGGGGTTCTGGAACAGCATTTAAGGGGCTTTCAAATGCAGGCAGATCAGTGGTTTGTCTGCAGAGCCATTTGGCCTGATGAATGAAACTGCTTCTCTGTAGTCGTCCCAAAGTTAGGTTTTGGAATCTTTCATTCATAGGGTGATTAGGCATGCTAAGAAACTTTTCTGCTTGTATTAGCATCTTGGTGTCTCTGCATTCACTCAGTACTTGAGTCATCCCCATTTTCTCCATCACAGCTATAGGTGTTGATTTCATACTGCCTGTGGTAACTCTGGGTGCTTGATTTTGCACTTTGTCTAATTCTTGTAGTGTGGTTTTTGATGCCGAACTCCATGCTGTTGATCTGAATTCAAGGTGTGATCAAACATTTTGTTGGTAAACTTTCTTAAGTATTTTTCCACTAGCACCCCAAGTGGTTCCACTTAGTTTTCTCAGGATGGCTACCCTCCTTTTGGCTTTGGTTGCTGCCTTGTTACTAAGTCATCAGCATACATTGCAGCTTTAATTTCATGGGGTAGTTCAGAAACCAGGTCACTGATATAGGCTAGAAAGAGTGTGGGTGACAGGACACCTCCTTATGGGATGCCATGGCGCAGCAAAACTTCCTTACTCTTAAGTCCATCTATCTGTACTCAGGATCTTCTGTTATACAAGTATGCTTTCACCCATTTGTACATATTCCCATTCACTCTGCAGTCTTTCAGTTCCGTCAGTAGCCCTTCTTTCCAGACCTTGTCAAAGGCTTTCTTCATATCTATTCATGCCACTAGCACCAGCTTCTTTTCCTGGAAGGCATCCTCAATTTCTTGTAAAAGGTAAGTTGACTGATCTTCTGTGGAGTAGCACTGTCTAAAGTCTGCCTGCTGCGGCGTGAAGATATTTTCACTTTCCAAGTACCACTGGAGTCTAAGGTTGACAAAACGTTCCATTGTTTTACAGAGGCAGCTGGTTAGACTGATTGGTCTTTAACTGGAGGCATCAGAATTGTCCTTTCCTGGTTTAAGGAGTGGTATCGTGATTGCTTCTCTCCATATCTGGGGAACTTTGCCACCGGTCCAACAATAATTAAAGATCTCTAGCAGCTTTATTGTGGCCGTTGTTCCAAGGTTCTTGATCATTTTGTTGGTTATTCCAACAATTAAAGGCAACTTTCCCATTCTCAGCTTTGATATTTGCTAACTCACTAGACGTAAGTGCTGCCACCAATGCCTCAGGAATTATATCATTTTGTCTTGTGCTGTGGTTCTCTTGAACCTCTTGCTGATTTCTCTGGGCTGACATTAATGATGCTGTCTTCGACAAAAGAATCTGCAAAGTGGTCAGCTGCCTGTTTTCTTGTTAGGATGGCTCCTTCTTTGCATTGTGCAATATTCACATTTCTTCCTGTAGTCCCATCATTAAATTTGTTTTACTAACCTCCACAACTTCCTTGTGTTTCTTTCAAAGTTTAGAGAATTTGTTTTTTCTTGACAGCTTGATCATCTAGCCTGCAGCTTGGCTCTTTGAAATTTGGCCTTTACATGTTGGTAGTTGTTGAACTGCTCTTGACAAGGTCTAGTCTCAACTGTCTTTCTTTCTGTTTCCATATCGTTGTGCAGTTGCTCCAGATCGCAATTTCAGTATGGTTTATATTGTTTACACACACCTCTTGGTACTGCTTCTAGGGCTGCCTGCAGTTTGCATTTGTTGAACTCTTCAACTACATTTTCTACATCATTATCTGTGTTAGATTTTCAAGCTGAAAATTGTGCAGAGCAGATACAACTTCCAGTCTGCCTTCTAAAAATTCCATCTAAATACACAATATTTTCTAGCAGCACTAGGTGGGCAATACTTTCTAGGAGCACTAGACAGATAACACTTTCATGGTGCACTAGATACACAATGCTCTATAAGAGAGTGTCTTCAAATGTAGATATTCACAGCCAAGAAAACAGAAAGAACAAGAGACATTTTTTTAACTCTTTGAGTCCCAAGGAACGCATCACGAGCTAATTTGTTACTACTTGGCGGCCCAAACAGCGCATGACGTGTGACGGTTTTTAATTTACCACTTATCGGTAACTACACGAGAACCGCTCAATTTAAACTTCCTTTCCAGTTCTCAAGTGTATAGTGAACACACTAAGGAGTGATTCGTTTGGGTCTGGTGAGTTTTTAATGCTTTAAATGGATATTTGTGTGGTCTACTACATTACCAAACAATTGTCTGAAAACAATATGTCTGATCAGTCATCCTCTTCACGCCCATCAAAGCGATTTACTGCTTTAGAATCATCAAATTTGATAAAACAGTGGATCAATTAAAGTAATGTGGAGTTGTATAATGATAGTAGCGACGTGAAATTTCCCCAAACCGTTGACGAGTCAAGTTTTGATGAGGATGTGTGCGTAATTTACCTCCTGCTAAGAGGACAAAACTGACTAATTCTGCCATGGCAACACAAGAGAAGCACCTCGTGACGCCACACCAGCTAGTCCAAATGTCAGCGCTTCTAGTACTACTATCCAAAAGCATAGATTTATATCTATGAACAGGTTGACATGTTTACAGTGCCTTTACAATTTTTTTTCTGTGTGAGGAATTCAATTGTTTTTAGAAAAGTCACTGTTTGTGCCACTGGAGAATATATTTTGACGTGTTATGGTAGTGTTATCAAAATTGCTATGGAACAACAACTATTGCACATTTTGCTTTAATATTGGCTGTGCATACTTATAAGGGTGTACCTTCCTTTGTTATGCATTTTGGATATACTATATCAAGAATTTTGGGATCAGCTTCTGGGTAAGTGGAAAAAACTTATTCATAATTTACTCACCTCTCAAACTAAGTCACTGTTTTCTTTACTAAATACTAACTAACAGTATAATTGTTTGTTGTAGCAGTATGCTAATATTATTCCTTATCCATTTATGTTTAATTTTATGTATGATATATGTAATTTGGACATCAGCTGCAGTTGTATGGTTTGTTTTAAAGTGCTGCATTTGTTAAAAGTCAAAATCATATACCCCCCCACCACCCCCCCCCCCCACTACCCCCCCCCCCCCCCCCCCCCCCCCCCCCCCACCCCCCCCCCCCATCCCATACCCCCCCCCCCCCCCCCCCCCCCCCGGGCCTCTGATGCAAAACCCCCTGGGACTGAAATAGTTAATACATAAATAGAAATGTGTGCACACATCTGATGTCAATGTTGATATCGCCAATATACAGCATGTGAACTGCTGATAAATATAACAGCATGTGAACTGATGATAAATATAACAGCATGTGAACTGATGATAAATATAACAGCATGTGAACTGATGATAAATATAACAGCTTGTGAACTGATGATAAATATAACAGCATATGAACTGCTGATAAATATAACAGCATGTGAACTGATGATAATTATAACAGCTTGTGAACTGCTGATAAATATTACAGCATATGAACTGCTGATAAATATAACAGTCTGTGAAGTGCTGATAAATAAAACACCCTGTGAACTGCTGATAAATAAAACACCCTGTGAACTGCTGATAAATATAACACCCTGTGAACTGCTGATAAATATAACACCCTGTGAACTGCTGATTAATATAACAGCCTGTGAACTGCTGATAAATAAAACACCCTGTGAACTGCAGATAAATATAACACCCTGTGAACTGCAGATAAATATAACACCCTGTGAACTGCTGATAAATAAAACACCCTGTGAACTGCTGATAAATATAACACCCTGTGAACTGCTGATAAATATAACACCCTGTGAACTGCTGATAAATAAAACACCCTGTGAACTGCAGATAAATATAACACCCTGTGAACTGCAGATAAATATAACACCCTGTGAACTGCAGATAAATACAACAGAATACAAACGGAGCTCTTTTTTTTCACAATGGTGCTCAATGCCATAAAACTTGTATGGCATAGCAAATTGTTTGACTGGAAGACAACAGCTTTCTAACCTGTTAGAGACTTAAACAAGTGGTGGTGGTATACAGACAAGCAACTATGCTGGTGATGTGGGAAATACTGTTTAAATTCTGCTAAAGTGACCATGGGGTGTTACAGATCATGTTTTTAAGACATAAGACTTTTTTTTTTTCCTTCCGTCCATGTGCTGTTGCTCTTGTAATGTCTCCACACAAAGTCTACAATATTTATTTGGCAGATAGCATGATACCATAGTAGATGTTGTTACTTCTTACCTTGTTTCCCTGAATCAGTTAACAAAGATACACTAGCAGGCTAGCACAAAAGATCAGAGACATCAAGGCATGGAAAAGCTTCTTTATTTTACTTCTGACTGTAGCAGCACTGCTAAATGTGACTTGCCATAGCTCCCTATTTTTTTAAAGGGCTACTTTATTGGGGGGAGGATGGAGAGGGAGGGTTTGCCTGTTTCCTGAAGAATGATGCCCAATGCTTGTCAAAGACTGTTACAGGTCCAGCAAACTGACAGTAGTTTACTTTAGTGCTCATATAAAAAAAAGGAAGAGATCTCATGAGCCTTTCCCAGAGATCACTTCCTGCCCTGACACCACAAGGTATTCCAGGAGTAGAGAAAAGGAGAAGGTGGTCAATGTTTTCAATGATTGTGTTCTCTAAAACGTGTACTTCTCTACCTCTGGTTGATTTAGCCTCTAATGTAATTACATTGGAGTGTATTAGTTGACTTATTCTTGAAAATAATTTTTCTGTTGTCATGAAAGTTGTCAGTTATATCTGCAACAAACTGGTATCTCTGAAATCTAAATAATTTTTAAAAAAAACTGATAAAACACTTCAACTCCCACCGTATAATTGCTTTCCCAGAGGTTAAACCAAGTTTTTTCAAAGTTGTTGCAGCAAGCGCTGACTGGCCAATAATCTGTTAGGGAAACAAATAAATAAAATTAATGAAACAAGAAGCCATCTCAAAGGATGCTATCATTACTGTATGCTTTATATACATCCATGGAGATGATAACAGGCATTTAAACACTGATAATAGATTGGCCAGACAGTGGAGTGTTTCTGTGTGTTAAGGAATGCAGATCCCATCATGCACACTGATTTATCAACAGAGATAAAATACATATAATATGCATCTAATTTCTCAAAGGAAACAACATAATCAAGTATTTTAAACATCTTAGGAATGAAACCAGACCAACCAGAGCATACAACCTAAACAGACCTGGATACAGAGACAGTGTAGACTAACAAAATGATGGATCTCAAGGACACATAAAACAAACACTTCTTTACAATAATCAATGGAAGACATCTGTCCTAAGAATGTAAGCTAACACCTCCCACATACTGATTCTTAACTTCAAAGTTCCTACAAAGTGTCATGTGGACCGATTTTTTCCCTGGAACCTCAAACACCACATAATGTATGACCTTTCACATTTTGTCAAGGTCATTAAGGATACCTGAGTTTCCAAATGGCCACTTGAAGCATGCACTTGCATTTCACACTTTTACAATTGTTATGCTTTTTCCACAGTGGTTATTTGTTCCATGGTACATCTGCTACAAAATCTCACAGGAATGAAAGAGTTAAGAAAAACTATGGACTAAAAAGTGACACACAAATGGAGCTGGCAGACAGACACCTGTGATGTGAGCTGACATGGACTTGGAACTATAAGTGACCATTTAGCGGACATCACTCTCACTAATAATGGTGATACCACTTGACAGGAAATTAAAGTGTTTTCAAATATCATAGAAATGCTCCAAATGTGTGATATTCTTCAGAATAAAAATGCATGGCAAAAGATTCAAAAATGTCTGTTACTATGATGGAAGCAACAGTAACACTCAGCATATTTGGAAAGGAAAAGTTGGCAAATAAGTGACAGGCAGACAGTATGTCAGTAGGTATAAAGCAAAATTACATAAAACATGTGTACCACTAGACTGACATACAGAACATCTTTCTAGCATTCACCTGGACTCTGCTAAATGTGGGAGGAAATTAATACTTGGTTCACTGATGAGTACCAGCAACGCACTGTGGAGTGCAAAGAGCATGGTGAGGCACTTAAAACACACTGGACATCCACTGCACCTACCTCACCTGTCTCAACTTGTCCTGCCACTAGATCTAGATGGAAAAAGGCGAGATAGCGAGGTCGGCGAAAATGCTAAATTCATTCTTTCTCTAAACCAATTCATTGCATATGTCACTCTTTCATTCATACATTTCACAATCAACCACAGCTTCATGATGGATTTTAAGAAAGAGTGGTCCTCCTCACCTGTGATGGACGAACAAACATAGCTTTCACTGACCAGGTCAGTCCTTCCTGGACTACTGCATTTGACAGGTGCCGCTCTTGATTGATGCTCATATTTTTTTGCTTCAAATATTTTAAAGAATGTTTAATTCTTTGCTGACGTAAATCAGCTAAAAAAGGAAGGAATATTAACATGTTAGAGAAACTATCATTGCCTCACCCACCTCTTCTCTCATGAAAATGCAGACTGGATACAAAGCTGGAATTTGGCTGCTGTCCATAAATGTCAAACGATTCTTGTACTCTCTGCAACATGTGGCAGCCAGTTTAACAAACTGAATAAGCATTTGAATTAAGCCAATCCTGATATCTTTATTCTACATAACATCGTGTATTATAAATATAATAAGTAGTTTTGTTTTAATCAAGTAATTAAAAACTTTAAACTCAAGACAATATATAATTATTTGTAATCCTGTATGCCATTAATTAGACAACATGAAATAATTAAACTGTAACTTATCAGAAGCAATGACCAAACAACAAACAACCCTGTTTCCATACCCTCATGGTATAATGGATAAATGATGCAATGCACAAATTTACTCAATAAAAAAAATACCAAAAGCCCTGAGCTAGCAGATGAGTGCACTTTTAAGTATGCCAGTTATATACCAGTGACTAGTCTCAGAGTCACAAGTATCTAGTGACTGCAAACATCTTGTCAAAGAAGTAATTACCAAACTGTCTAGGTCAGATTTTGAATCTACTACTTTACAGATACTCAAACCTAGGCTGTCAGAAGTCCAACCCATATTCTGCTTGAGTGATTTCTCCTCCCTCACCCACCCACCCATGCATGCATGCACATACACACACTTAACTCTTCCTCAGAACTCTGATAACATCCAGCAGCAAACCATCTCACATCTCAGCTAGGTCCATTCTAAACTATCCTAAATGGTTTACAAATATGTACATCAGAAACAGTTAATATGTTTAGTAAAGACGGATTTATGATCATTTAACATTGCTGCATATTTACTGTTTCATGTTGTTGTAAAATCTAGTATTAGACCTGGGCTAGTTTCACTGGTATATCTCACTCCACTTGTTGGTAACACAGAGATAAATACTTAGATTTCCTGGCCACACAGACAGGTGGTTCACATAAGGGTGATGTATTTTTGTGCGATTACAGTTTCAACTAAAAGACAAAAAGAATTAAAATAAACCATTAGTTTACCTTGGATGGCCAGAGTAACTAACAATGATTGCTTGAAAAAATCTAATGAAAGTAGATCTCTATTTACAACAATAAGAAAGATACAAACACTGTTCTTTGGCCACATAATGAGAAGACATTGGAAAGATCAGTTGAAAAAGGGGTAGAAGCAGACCAAGAGAGATGATGCTAGATGGGCTGAAACGATGGCATGGAGGGATTATCATCATGAGAGCTGTTCCAGGCAACCAGGGATCGTGATCTGTGGAGACGCAAGAGCGCCTATGCCAATTGGCAGGGCACAAGATGATGATGATGATGATTAGTGTACCTATTTTGGTAGAAATTTTGACTGCCAAAAAAACATAAAGAAAGAAATTATAATGAGTGAGTGAGTGAGTGACTTTCTACCCCACTAGGACATCACACAAGCGATAAACACCCGATGACACAATGTGCCACCATGTGGATGAGGATCACCGTGGAGAGGTCCCAGAAACCGCGTTCAGTTAGCTTGTACAATGAATGTGTATGAGTACCTGTTTGTGTTCTCCAGATGCAACAAAATGTCCCACAGATTGGCAGAGGGCTTGAAGCTGTCCTGGAGCCGCTGACCTGAGTCAAGCTGTCAGCAAAGTTGCAATCATGTGTCAAGAGTTATATCTGATCATATTACCATAAACTGCAACATTCAAGTCAAGTTTTCAAGCCTAAAAAGTCTTTCCAAAACTAGGGATCACCTTATACGGTGGGTATAAAAAAGTAAACATATAGAAAGATATTACGATAAGTATTTAAAATATACAGGTAAGTATTGCGACCTTATGTAGTTTTGGCACAGGTAATCATGTACTGCAGCCTACCAGGGGCAAGAGACAAGCTTTCAAAAAGTGGGGGGGGGGGGGGGGGGAATAACTGTTCTGAAAGTGATTGCTTTTGTATTTGTAATAATCCGTTATACTAACATTCTATTTTAGTTTAATTAAAATTTTTTAAATATTTATTAAACAAAGCGACAAGGAAATTTTTGTTTCCACAAGCAGTTTGTACATCTACCTTAAAAATCTAATAATTACAATAATGCGCATTTAACTATAGATTAAGAACATATTCTAACCAAAACGTATCTACATACTTTCTGTCTCTCTTGCTGCAGACACTATTGTCCTCTTTTTAATTATATTTTGTTACTATGGGGGGGGTGGAAGCTCTGGGGGCAATACACTCAAGGTGGTGTACGGGTCTTGCCATATACTCAAGGTGGTGTACGGGTCTTGCCATATACTCAAGGTGGTGTACGGGTCTTGCCATATACTCAAGGTGGTGTACGGGTCTTGCCATATACTCAAGGTGGTGTACGGGTCTTGCCATATACTCAAGGTGGTGTACGGGTCTTGCCATATACTCAAGGTGGTGTACGGGTCTTGCCATATACTCAAGGTGGTGTACGGGTCTTGCCATATACTCAAGGTGGTGTACGGGTCTTGCCATATACTCAAGGTGGTGTACGGGTCTTGCCATATACTCAAGGTGGTGTACGGGTCTTGCCATATACTCAAGGTGGTGTACGGGTCTTGCCATATACTCAAGGTGGTGTACGGGTCTTGCCATATACTCAAGGTGGTGTACGGGTCTTGCCATATACTCAAGGTGGTGTACGGGTCTTGCCATATACTCAAGGTGGTGTACGGGTCTTGCCATATACTCAAGGTGGTGTACGGGTCTTGCCATATACTCAAGGTGGTGTACGGGTCTTGCCATATACTCAAGGTGGTGTACGGGTCTTGCCATATACTCAAGGTGGTGTACGGGTCTTGCCATATACTCAAGGTGGTGTACGGGTCTTGCCATATACTCAAGGTGGCATGGGCATCTTGTTGTGGGCAGGGGTTGTCTAAATGCTGCACCTCTGCAAGCCATCAGCTCAGAGATCCCCTACCATCTCTGTTTAGACCAGCATAGGCCACTATCTGTAGCACATGTGGATGTGAGGCAAAAGTCTTGCATGAGGGTCCATAAAACAGGCACATACAACGCGGTGCCCGTGGTGGGGATCCCTATATGCAACGCATAAATGACTAAACTTTCCCTCACATTTTGTGTGTGACTAAAATTATCGAGCTCCAACCCAATATGAAAACAGCTATCTAAACACATGTGACCACACTGGCAAAGTCAAACAATTGTCATTTTAATCTTAGGCTATCCTCCGAATAATGGTCGTAAATTATCGAGGCGGAAAATATACCCTAATAGGGCCTCAGTCAAGTGTCACTTGCGCACTTCCGGGGACTATAACGCCACTGCCGAATTGTGAGTTTCCGGCAACTTCCGCCACCGCCGAGAGTGTCCCCGCCAAGATTGGGGCTAAACTAGATGGCTAGGACTCATGAGCAAATAAAATGAAGGAAGCTGCAGGAGATGCGGTAGCTGCTGCTTGTGAGCCATTTAGTTTAGCCCCAATCCACGCCGCTTTTGGGGCGTGGGGGGGGGGGGGGGACACTCAGTGGTGGTGGAAGTTGCTGAAAGTTCGCAATTTGGCGGTGGCAGAAGTTGCCGGAAATCCGCATTTTAAGACGACGGAACTGTGCAATTGACACTTGGCTGAGGCCCTTTTAGGGTATATTTTCTGCCTCGATAATTTATGACCATTATTCGGAGGATAGCCTAATCTTATTATTGCAAACATGCTGCTGTTTACACCGATACTGAATCCATTGGCTCTCATGTGTGTTAAGTGCAAGACACACACCTGTAGGGCAATGGTGACATCCTGTTCCACCCTTGCAGAGGGGCATTTGACCAGTTCAAGTTTGGCATTATTGGGTAAGCTGGAATATCTCACAGACAGGCTGAGATCTAGCTCTTTACGGCCCTGACTTTGTCTGTTAACAAACACAAATAAACCTGTCATGTAAAAGATGCTGCACAATTACAAGAGCACATAAAGTTTTAAAAAAAACATAGTTACCTGTAAAAAATCACATACATCACATTTATGTGAATGGAAAACAATATGTGAGGTAAATAAAACACACGTTGAATTCTGAGTTTTGAAATATTTAGTTCTGATGGAAGGTGAAGTAATGAAATATGCCATGCATTTCTCCAAATATTAATGTCTCTTGTTGAATTTATCAACATCTTTATTCCCCAGAATAGATGGTACTGGCAATCATCTACTATCTATAAGAGTGACCTCTAATAGTGACTTCATCCACTACTGTGTTGATAATTAAATATCTGTCTCATAATTCTTTCTCCTGGGGCTTAATCTCTTTTATTACGATGTTAAATGTTTTTTTGTTTTTTTAATAGCCCTAGAATGATTTTTCCTGCTCAAAGACAACAAAATTCACCACTTAGGAGCATGATTTGAAGATCAAGAAGAACTGGCTCATAAACAGCATCCTTCCCTGAAAGCTGAGGCATTTTGGGTATGGTAAACCTAACCATGGCCTGGACACAAAGGTGATAAAAAGTAGTTCCTATCAAATGAGGCAGAGGCCGGCCTTAGGGAAGGTAATACAAGATGCAAACAGGGCTGGAGAATTGGTTAAAGAAAGAGAGACATTTAGGCGTTCTGTGACGAGAGCGGTGTTCTGTAAAGGATCTGCTGATTGATGATGATGAAGAAGAACGCAGAATAATCTAATTAAATCCTGCTCCCAGTAATCAGTCACCCGTCATGATAATCTCTAATTCACACAAGCCTGTGAGACACTGGAACATACTGTTTCCTATTTTTCTTTCTTTACCATATCAATGTTACCACACATATTTTCAAAGTGTCTAAAAATGATATAATTATTTGAGCAGTGTCTCACCAATGTGGACACAATGAAGACAAAATATACTGCATAATTTAGTCTAGCACAGAGGTTGGCAAACTCTTCAGTCCAAAGAACCAAAATTCAGCAGCAGGACAATTAAAATATTTTTGAGAACCAAATTTATTTTTAAGAACCTGTCAAGAACCATGTTGTTCGGAGTCAAAACTGATTTGTGGCCGACAGGCCAAGCCACACATAGGTCCCTAAAGAGCCGCATGTGGCTTGCAAGCCGCGATTTGCCAACCACTAGCAGATACCCTTGTATTTCTTCTGATAGTCAATGTCATGTGGTATTGTTGGTTGAGTCTATCCAAAACTGTCTGGCTCATGTACTTTCAATTCTCACATAGATGGTCTTCTATACCATGATGTCAACTCTCTCTGCCTCTCTTCTCCTCCAACATTTCCACTTGAACCATGTCCTCCAGTTTTCTCCTCCTCATGATATGACCAAAGTGTGTAGATTGTCTACTTCCAAACTGGGCAGTTTTCATTGTGAGTCAAGACATCATCACTACTCTTTTTATCTAGGTGTTCTTATCATTCATCTATAAAACCACATCTCCACCATTTCCACATAATCTTTCACTAATTGGCCAACTGTCCATGACTCACTTCCATATATCTAGATAGGATATATATAGCTCTTGAAAATTCACTTTCTCATCTCAACTGACAAAGAAAGACTGCACAGAATATTCTTCCTTTTGTGAAATGCTGCCTCTGCTTGAGCTAGTCTACATTTAACTTCTTTGATACATCTTCCATCTGATGTTATCAGGTTGCCCAAGTACTTAAATGTATCAGCTTGCGTGAGGATTGTCCCATTTACTTTGATGTTGCATTTCAGAGGGACCATTTTCTTTGTAATTACCGTTACTTCTGTTTTTCTGCTGTTCAAAATAAGACTCTTGTTTTGACTTTCAGTTATAATTATGTCCATAATTTCTTGCAGCTCTTTTATTTTCAGCAATCATAACTATACCGTCAGAATATAGTAGGTTGTTCACAACCAACTGATATTCCTGGCATACCATGTATGATCTCATTATTATTTCACAGCAACAACTCATTTCATCGGATGATAGTACAGATCCCTGTCTAATGCCTTGTTTAACATTTTCAACAGTTCCCACTTGGTTTTCAATTCTTACGGCTGCTTCTTGTTGCCAGTATATTTTTATTTAAATTTTCTCAGATCTTTACTTTACCATCAATGTCTAAGGTTTGTTTCCAAAATTCTTATAACTTCGTCATGTATGGAAATGCTTCACTGTAATCATCAAAGCACAAATACAGATCTTTGTTTATTTCACTCATTCTTTCTGTCAGTGTTCTCAAGATGAATAAGGTTTCTTTCATTAGGTAAATAAGAAATAAAAGAACACAAGTATGCATATTAATTCTGTCATCCTGTTAACTTTCAATTCAAATGAAAACAATGTGTCATAACCAGTTTCCTACATTAAATATACTTCACTCTGTCTGCTCATTTAGCTAGTTAAAAGTAATATTTATTCTGACATCACTGTAGATAACGCGTTTTTTTTCCCACTCAATGTTCAGCTGGTTTTAAAAAATTTAGTCATTAGAATGTGGCCGGTGGGGAGTGTGAATGTATACAAATATCACAGCTAATTAACATACATGAAATGTTACCTTGCCAAACAAACACAGGAAAACCTGAAAAGAGACCTGAGACTTACACAAGTTTATAATCCTCTGGTGGGATAAAACCTTGCCTCTGACAGACTTCCTCCAGGATCTGCAATTCAAACAATACAGAAATCAACCAGAAGTGAAAAGTGTGTGAACTTTTTTAGTACCAGAAGGCAGTGCAGCCGATGCTCGGGTCAAGAAGGCAATACCAACACAAGCAGCTATACTGCATGCATTAAAGGAAGAATATACATAAGATTTGAATAAATAGTCATCACTGTCATTAGTATGCTTGACTAAACAAAAACAGTACAATCAAACATGGAAAGATGCAGGTGAAGAACATGAAGAATACCAGATCCTGCAAGGTGACAAAGATAACTAGCATACTCAGTAACAAAAGGTAATAAAGTTGACCAAACTAATGAGCCACTTTGCAGAATATGCCCAGGGTGGGTCTTATAAGACCTTGTCTCATCAGATATCAAATTTCAGACCAAGTTACTTTGTAAACATCAGGGGCCCCAATATAAACCTTACGGTTAAAGTGGGCTAACCGGTGTTTGTACATGTAGAATTCTCATCCTTAAGGTGTACGTTCTGCTGACTGCAACCCTGAAGGGGACAAAGTGAAAGTCACATTAAATTTAACTAATACGGAAGAGAATACAAACAAAATGTGTTATTACTAGGACTGTACCGAAAATTCGCTTTGTATTCGCTTCGAGGCCGAATAGTGGACCTACTGACTATTTGGTTTTCGGCCGAATAGTTGCGGTCAGGCCGAATACGAATAGTAGCTACCTTACACCCACTTCTGCATACACGGCCTTAATGCTGACAACATGGAACGATTGGTTTTGTTGAAAGCTAATGCAGCTTTTCTGCATTAACTAAGCTGTTAGTGACAATTTCCAAGTTTAGTTACTTGTTATAATACTTAGGATCCCCCGTGTGGGTTCCGGGGCCCCATTGTGGGGAAAACAAGAATAGACCCACTGCCTCCCCAAAAGCATGTCGTAAGAGCCAACTAATTGGGGAGCTTCCTTTGAAGTCGGAGTGCATCTGCCGGAGAGGCAAGGAACCAACAGTCTGTATTCAAGAGAATGAGATCTGTAAAACTGATGCACACGCAACACTCAGGTTCTCTAGCAGGACTGCAGTTCAGTAGTGGACGAGCAACCAGAACCTGCCGCCAGAGTTTACAGCTGGTGAACGCGAAGAAGACGAAGAAGAAGAATACTTAGGATTCTTTCATTCCTAGTTATTAGTTACCACAGACTGACTGAAGAATGCAAAACATAAAATGTTTGTAAATGTTTACTATTCTGAACAAATACTAACTAGACATGGACAGAATTTAAACTCCGCCACATCCAAGTCGATAATATTAAAATCAAATGAACGGAAACATATAAGTAATTGGGTTCAAACTTCAACTGTTCCAACATGCTGAGAGAAGAAATTCAATCTAGAATACAATCTAGAAATAAAGTATACTATGCCCTTCAATATCTGCTAAAGTCAAAGTGTCTGTCTCACAACACCAAGACAAAAATATATAAAACGTTGATAAGACCAGTCGTTTTATTTGGCTCTGGAACTTGAAGCATAAATTAAAGAGATGAGGCCTTATTACAGGTTTTCGAAAACAATCTTTGGACCCATCAAAGATGCTAATAGCGGGGAATGGAGAGTGAGAAGCAACAACGTAAAACATAATCTGTTTAAATCACCATTGATCACTGGCATCATGAGAGCTAACAGACTAAAATGGTTGGGGCATATTGAAAGCATGTCAGATGACAGAGAAGTAAAAACTGTATACACTTGAGAGAGGAATGGGCGTAGACCACAAGGCAGACAAAAAAGAAGTTCGAGATATAGTCCAGCCAGACCTGCAAACAACTGGTGTCACAAATTGTGAAGAGAAGGCCAGCCAGAGAGATGAATGGAGATGACTGATATGCAAGGGCTCAGAATGCTAAAGAAGAAGAAGATTACTATTCTGTGCTACTTTATGCAAAGCAAAAGTTCAGCGTACATTTGACATTATGAATGTGTGTGTGTATGTTTTTTTTTTTTTGTTTGATATATTTTATACACTATACACTATTTGTATTCTTATGCGGCCGAATAGTTGGTCCAGCTATTCGTATTCCGCCGAATAGTGATTTTCACAATTCAATACAGCGATAGTTATTAAAGATAAAAGAACATGTGCTTTGCATTTTTCTAAAGTGATGTTATCTGTGATTTGTGGGGAAACAGATCAAACTGGCAGCTACTTACAGTTGCTTTAAACAACTGTTAGGATATTGCAGGGACGTTTTTTACTATATTATTCTAATTAAGCACTTTTTTTTAAATAATGTTATTTCAAATCTTGTTTGAATGGGATTGGTCAATTAATATTTTCACTTAGTAACAACAATTAATATTCAAAATAAAAAACTATGGTAATTAATAATCAATAAGAGTGACCAACAGTGAACATCACAGTAAACAGAGAGATATTAGAACAAGCAACACATTTCTCCCATCTTAGACATGTAATAACAGAAGGATAAAGAAATCAAAATGAGAATAAGAATGGCTAGAAACATCTTCAATAAAATGCAAAAATTGACAGCTAAACAATAAACAGGAGTGGTCGTGGTGTAGCAACAAGACAGGAAAGGTCAGGGATTCGGGTCCCAGGTCAACCCAACCTTGAGAGGGTGCAGTTCTAGGCATGGAGTTGATCATATGACATACAAAGTGCTGATTTGTCTTTAAAATATAGGTCAAGCCCTATATGCCCTATAGACTTAAAGGCCCGGAAAAGGGTCCTAACTACTTTTTTAAAGAGATAAACATATTACAAATGAGAATCATCAAATACTAAGTATACCTGACCCTGCTGTATGGTGCAGGGCACAGAAACATGCACAATGAAGAAGCAACTAGAAATTTGAATTGAGTCTCTAGAAATGTGGATATACAGAAGAATGGGTTGTATTTCCCAGAAACAAAAACAATCAAATACAGTGGAACTCCAATATTCATCCACACCAATATTAATTTTTTCAAAATTCATCTTTTTTTTAGTTGATTTTTAGTCGTCCTGCCTCCAGTGTAAGGAGTTATTTTCCCCTTCATGTCACATTTTTCATAAACTATGCTGAATGGGTGGTCCTAATTATGTCTGAATGGATAGATGGAATGTCAAGTTGAGGTTTACACATTTGTTGCAAGGTAAAAGTGAATCTTGCGTGCAGGCCAAAAATGGGAAATTAGAAGTATGAGGAATGTCCGAGAACATTCTAGAGCGAAAGGAAGAGGCTATTTAAGCCATGAGAAACTGGTGTTGGTTTAGTCTTGTTTCAATCTGATCTTGTTAGAGGTCAATGTGTGTGAAGTGAATGAATCTTGAATTAAATGAATCCTGAATTGTCAGCATGATTCCTTCAACTGCCCAGCGTACAGAAACCTAGCTACTGACTCTATGACGCCACGGAATGGAGGAATAAACAATTCTTGTGCCTCCAACATTTCTGATGCCCTTTTGTTTTGTGTGAGGATGAGAAGTTGCAAACGTCAGAGACTGTAACAGTATGAATCTTTCAGTTTCGATTGTAAGTACCTATGTACTCGTAATCTCTTAGGACCCTAGCCTTCATCCTCTGACATGTGTGTATCGAGAGGACATCGTCACTGCAGAATAAACTGAATTGTTATCAGCTGTGTAGTGTTTCTTTCTCAATGTGTGTCTCAGTCTCAGTGTGCTGTCTTACAATGCCTAACCAATATTTCAGAGTAGACTGCATATGAACAGAGCCGAAGGAGAGTCACTGCATCCAGCCTGGTTAGCAAGTTATCAGACCAGGAAAAAGAAGATGGATGACTAAGTGCTGAAATTAGGGAATGACTGTAAACTGGGGCAAAAATTCAGGTTTCCAGGGAGAAATGTACTGCCAGCATACACTGTTATAGTTGATTAGCGAATGAATTCATTTGACAACAATGTGTTTGGACACTTTCAGAAGAAAAAAAAATGGGTAATTTCTTTTTTTTAAATTGCTGGTGAAATGTTGGAAAATTATGATAAATCATTATGACATTAATCACCAGAAGTGACATTACCTGATTTTATAATGGAAAGTGACTCTTCTTACAAACAATAAGCATTGTTTTTTTTCCTTCCAAAAGGTACATTACTTTTTTTTTATATTGCCTACAGTATATTTAAGCTATCAGGATAAGTAAACCTCTATCATAATAACAGTTACAGCAGTTAATATGTGTTTGCAATGACTTCTGAGTTAAATTTTTGTTTTTGTTGGAACTTTTTTAAAACCAAACATGATGGAAAGGTCAAGGGCAATAGAACAAGAGGTAGACAAGGATACACGTGAGAGGAGACAACATTAAGAGATGATCAAACAGCAGTCTGAGAGGGTGTATGACCAAGGCAAGAGACAAAGTGTGTTGAAAGATCCAATGCAGCGAGCCAAGCTTCATTTCATGTGAAGGCAAGTGATTAACATTCCTGTTGTTATTTAGAGCCATTTTGTTACCCCACTAACATTATACCGAACTGTATTTAATTATTCTAATTAGAAATGCTTGCTTTATACTTCCGAGTGAACAATATTTTTTTTTTTTGGTATTGCATTTATATTCGAAAGCCGCCGAAAGCAAAATTTTCGGCTCTCCTCTGAACTTCTACCCCCGCAGTATTGCGGCCTGAAATATCCGTTCGGGGCGCAGTCCAATTAAAAATACGGACTTGTCGGAGTTCCCGCCCAGGAACAAATTGCGGCGAAACTAGGAGTACCTTACAATGTCACGAGACGCAACATTGCAGACGATAGTAGCAGACGATAAAAGCGACTATTGACAATTTCGAGACATTACAGATTATGAAAGCGATATGGCAGGTAGACCACGCGCTCCCACGCAGATTAGCAATACTGTTCTTCCTACTGAGGATTTAGCAGCGGTAGATGTCAGACTTGTCGGCATGCGCAAAACGTGATTAAACTCACCGTAGAGCGCATCTCCCGCTCCGCGCGTAGCGGTGTGGGGGATACGCTCGGCGGTGAGGCATAGTCACAGAAACAA